TCGCGGCTCCATAGGGAGCTCCGCCGATGGCCCCAGTGGGGGGGTCGCATGCGGTTCCCCCACCCAGGGCAGCGCTTTGTGTCCCCATAGGGAGCTCCGCCGATGGCCCCAGTGGGGTGGGTCCCATGCGGTTCCCCCACCCGGGGCAGCGTTTCGTAGCCCCATGGGGAGCCCCGCCGAAGCCCCCACTGGGGGTGGGTCGCATGCGGTTCCCCCGCCCAGGGCAGCGTTTCGTGGCCCCATAGGGAGCTCCGCCGATGGCCCCAGTGGGGGGGGGTCGCATGCGGTTCCCCCACCCAGGGCAGCGTTTCGTGTCCGCATGGGGAGCTCCACCGAAGGTCCCAGTGGGGGTGCCCGCATGCGGTTCCCCTACCCAGGGCAGCGTTTCGTGGCCCCATAGGGAGCTCCACCGTCACCGTAGGCCCCAGCGGCTGCTCTCGCATGCGGTTCCCCCTCCCAGGGCAGCGCTTCGTGGCCCCATAAGGAGCTCCACCGTAGGCCCCAGTGGGGGTGCCCGCATGCGGTTCCCCCACCCAGGGCAGCGCTTCGTGGCCCCATGGGGAGCTCCGCCGTAGGCCCCGGTGGGGGTGGCCCGCATGCGATTCCCAGGGCAGCGTTTCGTGGACCCATAGGGAGCTCCACAAAAGGCCCCAGTGGGGGTGCCCGCATGCTCTCCCCCGCCCAGGGCAGCGCTTCGTGGCCCCATGGGGAGCTCCACCGAAGGCCCCAGTGGGGGTGTTCGCATGCGGTTCCCGCACCCAGGGCAGCGTTTCGTGGCCCTATAGGGAACCCCACCGAATGCGTTGCTCACAACGACGGTACTCACAACTGCATATGGTTGGGTCCTTCGCCAGGCTAATTCTTATGTATAAAACAAGGCAAATTTCGATACACGCATGTACATGTAGGCATACACCCTTATTTAATACACATGGATATATAGAACCATATATATGTATGTAACGTAGACATGGACAGGTTTCTGTGGGTGTTTATATGTATTTTGTGTATATATATATATATATACGTACACACACATATATATATGTATATATATACACATCTATGTATACCATTATCCCGGCAAAGCAACCTAACAGCGATGTGTATACGCATATCTGGAAGCATTCCCCTTAATATTCAGGTGAGAACCCAGTTGTTCGGCCGGATGGCGATGGGGGGATCAGGACATGGGGGGATGAGTATCCGGTAGCGTTTTGTTGGGGTACAAGTTGTACCTTCTCTGCGGGTTGCAAGTGCAAATTGTACCTTCTCCCCCCCGTTAACATCCTCGCACATGTCGCGGACGTTGTCAAAAGTACAATTTGTACCTTATCTGCGTGGCGTCGGTACAAATTGTACCTTCTCCGTGGGGCGTAGGTACAATTTGTACCTCGGTTGCGCCTCTGTCCCCATCTGGACTTATCCCCCCATTTGCATCCCGCCAAGTTGTAGAATTCTGCTGTTCTCGCAGTCACAGTCGCATTCGCAATGACGGTCGCAGTGGCAACGGCCTTAGGATCCAATGGAATCCTAAGGATTCCTAGGGAATCCGAAGGATGCCTGAGGAGTCCTGAGGATGCTTAACTATGCCTACGGATTCCTAAGGATGCCTACGGATTCCTAAGGAGTCGTAGGGATTCCTACGGATTCCTATGGATTCCTACGGATGCTTCAGCCTGCCTCAGTTTCAGCCTCAGCCTCAGCCTGCCTCGGCTTGCCTCAGCCTCAGCCTCAGCCTGCCTCGGCCTCAGCCGCAGCCTGCCTCAGCCTCAGCCTTAGCCTGCCTCGGCCTCAGCCTGCGTCAGCCTCAGCCTCAGCCTGCCTCAGCCTCAGCCTGCCTCAGCCTCAGCCTCAGCCCCAGCCCCAGCCTCAGCCTGCCTCGGCTTGTCTCAGCCTCTCAGCCTCAGCCTGCCTCGGCCTCAGCCTTCCTCGGCCTCAGCCTGCCTCAGCCTCCCCTGCTCCCCCCCCCCTCTCCCCTCGTCCCCCCCACCCCCCCATTCAGCCTCACCTTGTCTTAGCTTCGGCCTGCCTCGGCCTCATCCTCAGCCTCAGCCTCAGTCTCAGCCTCAGCCTGTCTCGGCCTGAGCCTGCCTCGGCCTCAGCCTCAGCCTGCCTCAGCCTCAGCCTCAGCCTGTCTCAGCCTCAGCCTGCCTCAGCATCAGCCTCAGCCTCAGCCTCAGCCTGCCTCGGCTTGCCTCGGCCTCAGCCTCAGCCTGCCTCGGCCTCAGCCTCAACCTCAGCTTGCCTCAGCCTCAGCCTGAGCCTGCCTCAGCCCCAGCCTGCATCAGCCTCAGCCTCAGCCTGCCTCAGCCGCAGCTTGCCTCAGCCTCCGCCACAGCCTCAGCCTCAGCCTCAGCCTCAGCCTGCCTCGGCCTCAGCCTCAGCCTCAGCCTGCCTCAGCCACAGCGTCAGCCTCTCAGCCTCAGCCTGCATCAGCCTCAGCCTCAGCCTCAGCCTGCCTCAGCATCAGTCTCAGCCTGTCTCAGCCTCAGCCTGCCTCAGCCTCAGCCTCAGCCTGCCTCGGCCTCAGCCTGCGTCAGCCTCAGCCTCAGCCTGCCTCAGCCTCAGCCTGCCTTAGCCTCAGCCTCAGCCTGCCTCGGCGTGCCTCAGCCTCAGCCTCAGCCTCAGCCTCAGCCTGCCTCGGCCTCAGCCTGCCTCGGCCTCAGCCTGCCTCAGCTCGGGCATTCAAAATATGGCACAGGACTTGTATCACGAAGTGGCCCACAGTTGGTTTCAGGCAATCAAAATATGGTGCAGGAATGGTGTTCTGGGAACACGAAGAACACGAAGTGGCCTACAGTTGGCTCCGGGCATTCAAAATGTGGCCTGGGAGTGGTGTTCTGGGAAGACGAAGAACGCGAAGTGGCCTACAGTTGGCTCCGGGCATTCAAAATGTGGCCTCGGAATGGTGTTCTGGGAACAGAATCCACAGGAAATTATAGGACCCCTTGGAGTCCTGGGGAGTCCCCGGATTCCCCGGATTCTCCCGGCCCCCGCCCAGACCCCCCCGGGGAGTCAAGATGCTCTCTTTGGACCCCACTAGAAGCCTATCAGTCTTCGCGGTTAGGTAATAGGAATACAGAAAACAAGCTCCAGTGTTCTGCCGCGAGCGATCCTCACTCGAGAGCGCGGGGTGGGATTCCCAGGCAGCGACGGGCCCGCTGTGGCCCGGCGGCCGCCGCGCGCCGCCCTCCGGCGGTCGAGGACGCGAGGCGGGACATCCAGGGCGCACCGGGGCCCTTAAGGGGGCCTGGCGGCCGCGGTGCGCGGGGTGTGCGGGGCGGGTCGGGCGGTTCCTCTTCAGATCGTGAGAGCACCACTGCCCCTTGGAGGAGGAGGAGGAGGAGGAGGAGGAGGAGGAGGAGGAGGAGGAGGAGGAGGCTTCTCGCTCCCTCTCCTGCCTCCGTCGCCGTCGTTGTCCTGTCGCCCTCCCTCTTCCTCCATCGTTCCCAACCTCCCCCAGGCCAGGTGCACGGGTGGAGTCTCACGCTCTCGGGCGCGTGAGGTCGGCCACGCGGTGCACGAGAGCGTGTTTCGCCAGGCGGGGCCCGACGCTTGTGGTAGGCGAGGCTAGGATTGACGAGCTCACCCCAAGGCAAAAGCCAGGAGGAGGAGGAGGCGGAGGAGGACGCGTCTCAGGCTGGTGAGGGGCCCCACCTGAACCCTGTCTCACCCGCCCTCTCCCCTCTGCAAGGGCATGTTTTGGGGCACTGGCTTCGCCATCCTCCCCTTCTTTGAAGCAGGGGCGTCAAGCCTCTTTTACCCTTCCAGTCGAAACCGATGATTAAGGATGGGTAGCCTTCCCAAGGTTACCCTTTGCATCCTTGCCTCTTCGGCCCATCCTTACGCACTTTCGATGGCCAGCCCCTCTCGAAAAACTTCGACCTGCGCGCCCGAGGGGCTTGCATCCTTACCGCGCGTCCTCACTAGAAGTTTTGACTGTAGCCCTTAGGTGAGTAGCGAGCGAGCGAGGACTCGTCGGCGGAAGCCATGGCCGCACCCGCGGCCTCGCCGGCCGAGCTCCGCGGATACGGGCAGTTTTTTTCACGGGGATGGCACGCCAGGGCAGCGCGATCTTGTCCGATGGGTCCAGTGTGACCCCGATTTGACCCCGCGATCTCAATGTGACCCCACGATGGCTCCAAGTTCACCCCAATAGGCGACGTATGGCGGCTACTGGAGGGGGGTCCCGATCCACCCAGCGGGCGGAGTCTGAAGCGCGGACAGATTCTGAACCCAACGATCCTGGCATGGCGTGGATCTGTATGCGTTCTCCGCTCGTGGAGGACGCGCTCTTTCGGTTGTATACCTGCGTAATTCCACCCTGAAGGCGCACTAGCGTCGATGAGCGCTTGGTGATCCATGACATAGCGTCGACTGGCGTCACCTAGCGTCGATTTAGCGTCGACCAGTGTCGACTATCATCGACAAGTGTCGATTCACAAGAGCAGACAAGATGGCCTATCGGAGGTTCCTATGAGTTGCCACAGAGCGCTCCCGCCGCGCTCGCCAGCGCGCCCTAAGGGGGACGCCATGGCCAGGCCCCGCCACTCCCAGGCTGGCGCCCGCGCCCTCACTGCACTGGCTGCGTCGTATTGAGGGGCCTCGGTGGACAAGCACACGCTGATGCCCACACACGCAGTCGAATCGGCAGCAAGGAAACACAGTACGTCAGCAAGGATACCCCTGCATCCTTGCCGCTTCGGCCTATCCTCTTGCCTTTTCTCCACCTCCAGGGACGTCCAGTTTGGAGGGCCCAGGGGTTTGGTATCGCTCGGACGTGTGGACTTTTTCCCGGCGGGGATTATCAAGGAGCATCCTGGATCATCCTGCGAAATAACCGCCCACGAAACCGAAAAAGCGCAGGGAATGGACGTCCGAGCGATGGCCAGGGGGCGTTGCGCCCTTACCGTGCGTCCTCACTGCTCGCCTCCACTGCGGCTCGCGAGCGCGCGAGCACCACGCGCTCCTGCCGCGGCCGCCTTGCCTGCTCCCAGGCCGACGACATGGCCGGGCCCCGCCGCTGCCGGGCCGGCACCCGCGCCCTCGCGGCGGCAGCCGCCGCCTGCCTCGCCGCGCTCTGCTGCGCGGCGAGCCGCGGCTTCGCGCCCGCGCCGGGCGCCGGCGAAGCGGCGCGCGCGGGGGGCGGCTCGCGCTAGGCTGGCAGTCTCGACTAGACGTAAGTCAGGAAGGGAAAAAACACACAGACACAATTAATCGTCGATTCCCTGGAAAATATGGGAAAATATGGGAAGTGGTGGGGAAGACAAAAACCTATCAAATATGCGAAAATATGGGGAATATGTTTATTTGTGTGTATTTATTTGTGTGTCCTGGGGCCCCTTCAGTAAGGAGTGACCTTTCGCCGGAGTGACCTTTGGTACGGGTCCGATGAGGGTCCCCCGATCGCCGAACGCGATGCGATGGCAGCGTCTTGCGCGCCTGTGTGTGTGGTCATCCCGCGGCCCCCACTCTTGCGTGTGGCCGAGCGGGGGGCGGCTCGAGCTGGGCTGACAGTCGGATTCGGGCATACGGGTCCTTTGCACAAGGGGGGTCTCGAAACTGTGCGCAGAAGCTCGTGCAATCCTTCGCGCGGGATGCGCACGTCGCACAACATCAGCAGGTGGCTGCCACGAGCCTTGCGCCACAGGGTGGCCGATTGCTTTATGTGGCGACCTCATTTCGGAAGCCCTGCTTTGCCGAGCACCAAGAGAAACTCTGGGCCTCCCAGGCGGCGTTGGTCGAGGAAGCGCAAGCACGGATTGAGGCGCGTGTGTTAGCGACGGGTCCAGTTTCGATGCGTACTCGGCTCACTCCGTTACCGAATGAGGCGGCACTGGCCTCAGGTTCCGGAGGTATCTTCCCCGATCCATGGATTTAGCGTCACTGCGCCAGATCCACGGATCCCTAATCCATGTGAGCGTGTGCCCGAGCTGGGCCTCCCACGCGTCATCGCGGGTTCTCGGCGGTGTTCGACGGGTTCCCAGCGATTTTCCAGTCTCGATATGTTCTCCAGCAGCTGCGCCTCGCCGAGAGCGCCCGCTCGGCCGCCAGTGAGCCGAGTTATGATCCGGAGGCCAGGGAAGGGAGCTCGACTCGGGGCCAGGGAATCCAGGCCTCCCAAATGGGGTCCGAACGGATGGGGTCGGAGGATCGCGCCGCATCGCCGATGCATCGCCGATGCGGCTCGATGTGGAGCCTGTTTCTCTCTGCGTCGACGGCGCCAACGCACTGGCAATGCGGCGCGATCCTCCGACCCCATCTACTCGGACCCCATCTAGGAGGCTTCTGTGAACGATACTTCGACGATCTCGTGGGCCGTTTTCGTTTCGACTTCGATTTGCAGCAAAGATCGAACGAAGGCAGAGCGATGGTACACGAGAGCAACACGAACACGCACACACAACTTGTCTGTCTGCGTCGACTTGGGTCCAAGACGCGGTCGAGACAGCCGAGGGACGCTTCGGAGCCGAATCGGGTGGAAGCGAGAACACGGTCGAGGTCGATTCTTGGGACGGCCCCTCTTCAAGTGTTCGAGTCGCGGACTTCCGAGGAGGGAAGCGCGCCAGTACGGCGACCCCTACTTCGTTTCCGCCTTGCTGGGCCTCCGCGGGTGGGTCGCCAGAACGCACCCCCGGAGAGGTCCGGGGGGGAGCTGTACACGTACCTTTCGATTCCCCCATAGGCTGTGGTTTCTCGAACGCTTGTTTGCCGTCTGACCACCTCGTCAGTCTCCACCTCAAAGTTCTCCCCCCTATTCGTCAGTCTCCACCTCGTCGTCCTCCACCTCGTCGTCTCCTGGGAGGAAGCCAGCCAAGGCGAACAAAAACTACCGGTTTCAAAAGATGGATGATGCCGCTCTCTGTTCCGTAGCCTTTGATGCTTGAGGGTCCGGCGTGTGTACGGGGTCCGGCGTGTGTACGGGTGCTCTAACACCTCCGAGTGGCCCCATCGTCGAGCGAGGCTAGCGAAAAAGTACCTTTCGTATCTCATGGTGTCCTCGTCCTCCTCCCCCCTCCTCGTCCTCCTCCCCCCTCCTCGTCCTCTCCTCTCCATCCTCCTCCTGCTCCTCCTGCTCCTCGCCCCTGTATGCTGCCGACGATGGCCGCGGCGGCAGAGCACGCTTTTCGAGGCTCGAGGCTCGACCTTCTGCCGGGGGCAACATCGGGGGAGGACGAGCGGCTTCGAGGCTCGACGTCTTCGCACGTTTTTCGTCGTCTCCAGTCGGCTTCACACCGAAGAAGGAAACCACATAAGCTTAAATTTTTGGCGCTCCGCGCGGATTTCTTGGATCCGCGCTGGGCCCCCCTGGCGGCGCCTCCGGCGCCGCCCCTGGCGCGCTCCGCGCGCCAGGGAGGGGGGTCCCGGCGCGGATCCAAGAAATCCGCGCGGAGCGCCAAAAGTTTATCTTTATGTGGTTGTTTCTTCTTCTGTGTAAAGCCGACGGGATGCTCTCGGTTGGCTGTGCGGGAACCCCTGCTTCTTTGAAGGCGCGGGCCTTGTCTGCTAGGTGTCAGGCCGGCGCCTTCTGAGAAGCAGCCTCCTCCTCAGAGGCCTTCCCCCCTCCCCCTATCCCCCCCTTGCGCGCGCCGCCAGCACCCCGCGTAGTGAGTCAGTCGGGACTTCGGGTGACCGCACGGTTTGGGGACTCGGGTCGTTGTCCGAGGGCGTCCTTGGGCGACTGGGACTCGGTCCGAGCTCCCGAGACGGAGCGGAGACGGACCGTGCGCTGAGGTTTCCTTCGGGTTCCCGCGCCCCCATCAGGTTCGCTCACTCTGCGGCCACAGGTGATTGGCTTGTTTTCCACCACCACCACCACCACCATGAGTTGGAGGGGGGAAGGAGGACGAGGACGAAGAGGAGGAGGACGAGGACGAAGAGGAGGAGGACGAGAAGGAGGAGGACGAGGACGAAGAGGAGGAGGATGAGGAGGAGGAGGAGGAGGAGGAGGTGGAGGAGGAGGAGGAGGAGGAGGACCCCCCCCTCCAACTCCTGGTGGTGGTGGTGGTGGAAAACAGGCCCATCAGCAGGGGTCCCGACCCACTCAGGTCGACTCGAGGGCATGCTGCTCACGCACGGATCCGCCCTCGCGGGGCGCTTTTCCCGGGTATATCAGCCCCGGCCGAGGGGGGGGGGGGGGGGGCAGTTGTGCAGGTGCGACCGCTGGGGCGGCCCTGAGGCCACTGCTTGTGGGTTTGTGCCGCTGCGCCGCTGGGCTTCTTCGATTTTTATATATATATATATAACAAAAAACAAACAAAAAAACAAAAAACAAAAAAAAACACAAAAAGTGGGTTTGTGCCGCTGGCAAAGGCGGCCCGTGGAGAGCTGTTCCATCGTCTCGGATCCGCTCTCGGCGGGCGCCGGGGCCCGGAGAGGCAGCCCCCGGAGGCCGACGGCCGCAGGAGGAGCTTCCGGAGGGAGCCCAAACGCTCAGACACCAGGAATCGTCGATTCCCCAGAGAGCACGGGGAAACAAGGGCGCCCTCGAGGGCGCGGATTTGTTCGCGCTTCGCGCCTCGCGGTTCGGCTCCGATTCCTCCTCATCCTCCCCTTCTCCCTGGGGCGGCGGCGCAAGAGCGCGAAGTTGTTCGCACTTCGCGCTTCGCGCAGCGCGAAGCGCGAAGCTGGGAGCCATTGGAAAATATGGGAAGTGGGGGGAAGACAAAAACCCAGAAAATATGAGGGACATATGGGGAATCCTGTTATCTGTGTCTATTTATTTGTGTGTCCCAGGGCCCCTTCAAGGATGCCGGCAGAACAGAGGACCCCGGCAAAGCGCCCCGACGGCAGCAAGGCGGCGGGGGCGGCTGGAGGAGTGGGAGGTCGGCCATCGGCGACGGGGGCGACAGCGCGGCCGCATACGCACCACATTGCATTCTTGGGGGAACAAAAAGTGTAAACATAAAATCTCGGAGGCCCGCGCAGATTTCTCGGATCGGCGCTGGACCCCCCTCCCGGGCGCGCGGGGCGCGCCAGGGGCGGCGCCGGAGGCGCCGCCTGGGGGGCCCCAGCGCCGATCCGAGAAATCCGCGCGGACCTCCAAGGTTTTATGGTTGTGCCACGTCTTGCCTCGACTTCTGGCAGCAGGGGTCGGCTATCGGGGACAGGGGCGGGTGGAGGAGTAGGAGGTCGGCTATCGGGGACAGGAGGAGGAGGAGGAGGAGGAGGCGGAGGAGGGAGGAGGAGGAGGAGGAGAGGAGAGAGAGGGGGAGGTGGAGGAGGAGGAGGGAGGAGGGAGGGAGGAGGAGGAGAGGAGGAGGAGGAGGAGGAGGAGGAGAGGAGGAGGAGGAGGAGAGAGGAGGAGGAGGAGGGGAGGAGGATGAGGAAGGAGGAGGAGGAGGAGGAGGAGGATGGGAGGAGGAGGGGGAGGAGGAGGAGGAGGAGGAGGAGGAGGAGGAGGAGGAGGAGGAGGAGGAGGAGGAGGGGGCGACAGCACGGCCGCACAGGCACCACCTTGCATTCTTGCAGCAGGGGGTCGTGGCCGTCTGTAGGCGAGAGAGCCCCACGCCCGGGTTGGCAGTGCGCGGGGGAGCCTCGGGCGCCGCGGCCTCCCGACCCGGGCGGCCTCGGGCTCGGAGGGCTGGGCTCGTCTTCTGCCTCCGCGCGGTCGGGTGCTCCAGATTTCGTAATAAAGGGAGGGGGGTCTCGTTTCGGGGGGGGGTCTCTTCCAGGCTATCTTGGAGGGCCTGGGGGGGTCTGGGGACGAGATGTTTGGGAGGGATCTCCCACGGGGGGGGGGGGTCTGAAATGGCTTGTCTTGGAGGGTCCAGAACCCCCTCCCTTTTATTACGAAATCTGGAGTACCGCTGGCCAGAGTGCACAGCGGGCTCCTCAGCGCGCGCCGCGGGCCCGTCCTCGTGCAGCCGCCAGAGGATCACCACCCACCAAACCACCCCAACCCAACCCGAGGGCCTCAGATGGACCTCCATTTCCAGTGGGGGGGGCGGGTGGGCGGGGAACAGCGAGAAAACACGTTTGGAACCCGTACCCCCCCAACCCGAAATTCGGGTCCTTGGGGTTGAGTTGGGGTGGTCTGGTAGGTAGTCAGAAGAGTTGTGGAAGCCGGTGAATGCAGAGGAAGCGTGCTGCCAAATGCTTTCCAGATGTCGATAATTGTGTCAAACCTGTTTAAAATATGTAAACACATGTTTGAAACATGTTTAGGACATGGTTTACACATTCTGAACACATGTTTTATCCAATGATCGGATTGTTAAAGTGTCCACTGTCATGGCATCCACAACAGATGAGCGGCAAGGCTCCAGCCTTACGGGCAGCTCGCTCTCGAAGGCTGGCGAGCTGACCCATGGGCCATGCCAGCAACCCCTTTCGGCCATTGACCTGTAAGAAAACATCGGATGGCCTTGCACCCTGTGTCGGTGGGTGTTTGGGCACGCTCCTCGACTCGTCTTACCCCGATACGCACTCCATCCCCCCAGCATCTCAAACCAAGAGTGACTCCACTGTGCACCCTTTGCGGGGCTCGTGGGTCCTCCACTGGGGCTCCAAGAGTGACCGCCGTCTGGCGGTGGGACTCGTGGGCGTAGCTGCCTTGATACAGTCTGCCCAGGTTAGTAGGTCGACCCTGCCAGATCAATTGTACCCTTGAGTCCTGTGGTTCGCGACCCACGCTGTCTACATTCCTACGGCGATGTGGCCCTCGAAAGGTTATTGTGTCCTCTCGCGTGTCCTCTCCAATCGAGCCCGACTGCAGGCACGTCCTGCAACGCTCTCTCACACACGTGCTGGCCCAAGTTTGGGCGAGCGCCTCGCGCCAGACCCACGTTGGCGATGCACGTGTTGAGCTCCGTGCAGCCACGGAAAATTAAAGGTTGCGTGTTGCGCATCGGGGCAGCTAAGCTCGTGCGTCCGGGAGGGGGAGGAGGAGGAGGAGGAGGAGGGAGCAGTAGGAGGAGGAGTAGGAGAGGAGGATGAGTATGAGGAGGAGGAAAGAGGAGGAGGAGAGGAGGAAGGAGGAGGAAGGGGAGGACCGGAGTTTGGGTGCTGGAGAGGATGAGATGGAGTAGTAGGCGGAGGAGTAGGAGGGGGTAGGCGGAGGGAGCAGGATGGGGGCAGGAGGTAGGAGGAGGAGGAGGAGGAGGATGAGGAGGAGAGGAGGTAAGGAGGAGGAATGAGGAAGGAGTGATGATGGAAGGGAGGGAGGGAGGGAGATGATTTTTGTTTCTGCCCTCCCGCGCTCGCTCGAGCGAGAGGCCCCCGCCCCCCCGGCAGACAGGCGCGCGCGCCCCGCCCTGTTTCTGGCGCCACCGCGCCGGCGCCCGAGGCGGCGGAGGGGGCCCCGGCGGCGGCAAAGGCCACCTCGTCATCTTCACCTCTTCCTCCGCCTCCTCCTCCTCCTCCTCCTCCTCCGCCTCCTCCTCCTCCTCCTGCTCCGCCTCTCCTCCTTCTCTCCCTCCTCCTCCTCCTCCTCCTCTCCTCCTCCGCCTCCTCCTCCTCCTCCTCCTCCTCCGTCCTCTCCTCTCCTCCCTTCTCCCTCCTCCTCCTCCTCCTCCCCCTCGGCGGCGAGCAAGGGGGGGGAGAAGTGAGAAGGAGAAGGCCTTCTCAGAATTCGAGGCCTCCTAGACGGGGTCCGAGTAGATGGGGTTGGAGGATCGCGCCGAATCGCCGATGCATCGCCGATTCGGCTCGATGCGGAGCCCGATTTCTTTCACGCGGACGTCGCCGATGTATCGCTGATGCGGCTCGATCCTCCGACCCCATCTACTCCGACCCCATCTAGGAGGCCTCTAAGAATGGCGGCCGCACTTCTCAGAAGCCCTCGCGTCTTCCGCGTCATCGTCAGTCCCGTACCATATTTTGGATGCGTCTCCTGGGAGGTTCGATTGAGAATCGGCGCTGGGATATCCCTGGTCGACAACTGGCCCAATCTGGCCCAATCCCGCCTCATCTGGCGCGATCCCGCTTGATTCTCATCACACTCGTACAAATCTAGCTAAATCCCTGGCCGAATCTGGCCTAATCGATCAATTGTCCCTCAATGGGGGCTCATAGGCTTTAATCGTTCTGACGTATCTCCTAGGAGTTGCCCTCCCACCCCTCGTCCGATCTCGAAGACAATGACCCGGTATTACATTCCGAGCAAGACGGCGCCGTGCATCTGTGCGTGGTACGACAATGTGGCCATGCACGCAGATTACATGAGTAATGCTAAAACTATGTACGAAAGTTCCAAAGCCGGCCGTGATGAGTAATCAGAGTGAAGGGCCCGACCAGTCTTACGCCTTGGATCTTCAGAACCTGAAAACAATGGAATAGTATGTTCTAGCATAGCGCACAGCCTAATGGGCATACATGATGACAGTAGCTAATGGTGGATCTACGTGTCGAGACCTTGGAAGAGACGTTTTCACAACATATCGCTGACACAGCATGGATCTCAGATGCCGATAAGCAACGTCGAACTTGATGAGGAACACCCCGACGCGTCCAGATGCCTCCCATTGAAACCAAGCCTGCCGTACAGCACGCATCAGGGACCGAAACTACACGTCAATGCCAGTGCGGATGCTACGACGAGGACCTGTCTGACGCACCAGAGGAACCCAGCGGTGGACCCCCTCCCGGACACATGGGCCTCGTCTTCGGGGAATGCAGAAGTTACGATATCGTCTTCGGCGGAAGGCTGGCCGAAGGCGGCGTGCTGCGTAAGTAAAACGAAGCGGTTTCATCCGTTAGAAGCCGGTTGAAGGCCAGCAGAAGCCAGCAGAAGTGAAAGTTTTGCCCCCCGTGGTGTGGCAACATGTTTAGGTTCAGGGTCTCCAGACCACACGGACGGAGGAGGACGAAGGAGGAGGTCGGTGAAGTTCCAAATTTGTTGGAAGTTGGTAAGTCTCCACAGCGAAATCATTGGTTGAACTCCTTGGCTCCTTGGCCGGCCAAACGTGGTGCCTTGAGGTCCAACAACGCGAAGAAAAATGACACAGCGAGAAGATCACGACCAGAGCCCCAGACCCCATATTTCTAGGCCATGCTTCGAACCGCGTCTCCGGGCAGCCCAAAAGAGGCGCCCAGCTACAAGGGGGCGGTGGCAAAACTCAGGCTGGCACTGAAGCTTCTGGCGAGCCCGTGCGCCCTTCCGCCGCTCGCAACAGCGGATGACCCCGCCAACGGCCTCGAGGCACGGAAGGCGGGCGTCTCGGACAGCTGTGTTCGCAGAGTTCGGCGGCCCATCGGCGACAGGAGTCGCATCACGAGCTGGTGCGCTTCGCATGGAGTGATTTGTCCGGCGCTGCGCGCGCGCGTTGCAGTTGTAGCGCGCGCGGGCGACGGATTGCAAGTGCGTTGAGGGCGGGCAACTACACTGCAGATGCAGATGCATTGCGCCAGAGCGCTGTGCTGCGCCGTCTTGAGACAGGCATATTGCGCGCAAGGTCGAGCAGTGCGCTTTTCGCGCTAGAGCATACGGCACGAGCCAAATCGACTGTAACTTCCCAGTTGTGTTGCAATGGATTGCAGCTGGCAGGTTGCATTGCATTGCTGCGCTGGTCGATTGCGGCATGCTCGACCAGATCCGACCCGATCGCCCAGAGAGGCTGCAGGCAAGGGGCGTGGGGTGCCCGCGAACGTCGTCCGTCTCATATGGCAGAGTCGGAGGCTCCTCGGCAGCAAAGTGTTGAGCCTGCGCCCCTCGAGCCCGCACGAAGCTGCACTGCAGCCACAATGAAACATCGCGACGCCACGTGGTTGCAACACCCAACACACACACACACACACACACACACACACACACACACACACACACACACACACACACACACACGTGCGATCGCGTCGGTGTACAAAAAACACACACACCACCCCCGTCTACGGGGACCCCCTCCTGGTCTGCCTCGAGCATCGAGCTGCGATGGCCCGGGGCCCGACACTCGGCGAACCCGCCTCCTCCTCCTCCTCCTCCTCCTCCTCCTCCTCTTTCCTCCTCCTCTCCCTCCTCCCCTCCTCCCCTCCCTAACTCCTCCTCCTTCCTCCTCCTCCCTCCTCCTCCCTCCTCACTCCTCTCCTCTCCTCCTCCTCCTCCTTACCTCTCCTCTCTCCTCCTCCTTTTCCTCCTCCTCCTCCCTCCCTCCCTCCTCTACCCTCCTCCTCCTCCTCCTCCTCCTCCTCCTCCTCCTCTCCTCCTCCTCCTCCTCCTCACTCTCTCCTCCTCGGCACCTGTGCCACTCCTGTTTGCCCGTAGGGGCCAGGAGGAAAACAGGCGGGTAGCAGCCCGGTCGTCACCCCTGCTTGCCCGTAGGGGCCAGGGGGAGAGAAAAATGCATCTCGTCGCCAGCTCCCTCCTTGCGGTGGCCCGGCACGTACACCGCGTGCGCCTGGGCGGGGGAGCGGGTCCCCTGCGGGGGGCTCATCGGTGGACCCCGCACCCATCCCCCCCACGGCCAGGGTGCCCCGCCCTGGCGTGCGTGGGGGTGCGGAGTCGCCCGTGGGGAGTGGCGCCCCCTCGGGCGGCTTGGGGCGGCACGATGGTGTCGTTATCTGAGCCCTACGGGGCGGACGCAGCTCGGAAAACCGTGAGGTAGGTGGCGAGCTTGCTGGCCCTGCGAGTTGGGGGGAGGTAGGAGTTTTGCTGCTGCGGTGGGCTGAAGACCCCCGTGACGGCACAGTGGCATGTGGCTGCAGTTGCTTCTCTTCTTCTCCCTTCCTCCTCCTTGGCCCGTTTTGTGGAGGCCGCCTGGGGACCGTGCCTGGTGGGAGGCATGGGGCGGCACCCAACGTGGTGTCGTTTCGTGGAGAGCTCGCGTGCAGTCGGCGTCACCTGCCGCTTGCTTGCGCTCCTTTGCCCCTGGATGAACTGGCCACGCGTGTGGCATCGCAGCATGATCCAGCATGATCCTCCTCCTCCTCCTCCTCCTCCTCCTCCTCCTCCTCCTCCCTCCTCCTCCTCCTCCTCCTCCTCCTCCTCCTCCTCCTCCTCCTCCTCCTCCTCCCTCCTCCTCCCTCCTCCTCCTCAGGACACATCGAGCCTCTCCGAAGACGGAGGGCCCCATGACGGCGCCGCCGCGCCAGCGAGCCGCCCCAGCCCCCCGACGTTTGTGATTTCTTCAGAAGGGAGCGTTTTCTGCTGCTGCTGGCAGGCCTCCCCACGTTTTTGTTCAGCCAGGGGGGAAGGCAGCCTCCAGCTCCGAACCGCCCCCGCCCCCCCACCCACCCTGGTTCGTACAGGGGGTGGGGTGGGGGGTGGGGAAGCCCATTCCCCCCCCCGCCTCACTGTTCAGATCGGAGGGGGGGGGGGGGAAGGGGGGGGATCCCATTGCAGTTGGATCCAGCCCTGGTAGGGCTCTCTGAATAGGGCTGGACCTAGCCCTTGGGGGGATCTAGTAAAGCTTGAGCGGGCACCATTCGGGTTGTTTGAAGGCTGGATCGATCTTCGATAGGGTTTTATCTGAGCTGGATTTTGACCATAGCTGGATCCTCGAAGAGTTGAGTCGATCAGTCGTGGAAAGTTAACCAAGACCTCGTAGGGTTGTGTTGAGATTGGGTCTAGACCGTAGCAGGATTTACTAGAGTTGAGTTGAACATTCCTACGATCCCATCAATGCTGGAACCAGCCCCTTTTCAAATGTCACGACATTTGGACCGAGCCCTCGTGGGAGTCGACTGGATTCTATTAGAGCTGAATCAACTTCTGAGTAGCCGGATTCGATTAGAGCTGAACCGAGCTTTTGTAGGATACCATTAGAGCTGGACCCAGCTATCGTAGGATCTTGTTAGAGCTGGGTCTAGTGTCTTCTAAAGAGTTTGATCGAGCCCATATAATATGCATTTGCAATTGGATCCAATCCACACTTGCAGGATTCGATTAGAGCCGCTTCGAGCCCCCCCGCTCCTCTCGGTTCCCGGGCGAGCTCGATTTTCTGGCGGGGGCGGGGGTGGGTCCAGTCAAGGGACGGTGGATCGCGCTCCCTCGATTCTCATGGCGTCGACCGCCAGAAGTATTGACCCATTCCCCGGGACCGGCGTTCCAGCCGGAGTCGTTATTTTGTTTTTGTTACGGCGGCCCCGAGGCCCGGCGAGGGCCCCCATGCAGAGGCCGAAAGTTTTTCGAAATAACAATTGTTGTGATTATTTCTTCGCTGTCGCGATTATCTCTTCACTGTCGCGATTATCTCTTCAGTGTCGCGATTATCTCTTCAATGTCGTGATTATCTCTTCACTGTCGAGATTATCTCTCCACCTTCGTGATTATCTCTTCACTCTCGTGAAGTTGTTCGAAAAACCCACTTGTGATTGTCTCTTCACTGTCGCGGTTATCTTTTCACTGTCGCGATTATCTCTTCACTGTCGGGATTGTCTCTTCACTGTCGTGATTATCCCTTCACTGTCGTGATTATCTTTTCACTGTCGTGATTGTCTTTTCACTGTCGCGATTATCTCTTCACTGTCGTGGTTGTCTTTTCACTCGTATAGTTGTTCGGAAAAAAAACCCTTTGTCGTGATTGTCTCGTCACTGTCGCGATTCTCTCTTCACTGTCGTGATGATCTCTTCACCGCCGGGAAGTTTATCGAAAAAACACGGTCGTGATTGTCTCTTCATTGTCGCGATTATCTGTTCACTGTCGTGATTATCTCTTCACTGTTGTGATTGTTCCTTCATTGTCGTGATTATCTCTTCACTCTTGTGATTATATCCTCATTGTCGTGGTTATTTCTTCACTGGCGCGATAACCTCTTCACCTTCGTGATTATTTCTTCACTGTCGCGATTACCTCCTCACTGTCGTGGATCTCTTTGCAAAACCCACTGTCGTGGTTATCTCTGCACCACTCGAAGGGGGTCTGGGCAGGACGGCGCGGAGACCACGGGGGATCGAGGGGGGGCCCTCGCCGACGCCGCCCCTTTGGCGTCAAGTCGGGCATGTGCTTCTGCAGGAGAAGTATTCCAACAGAGTTAAAAACAAGTCTGGGGATGATAAGAACAAGGTTTGAGTTTTCTTTGGCTGAGGTTGGGTATTCCCTACCTAGGCTCTGCCTAGAATGGTTCTTACTCTCTTTCTTAAAGGGGCCGGGCAGTGGGGCTCGCCTCGGGCGGTTCCCCCGGCATCCGCCTCGCGGTTCCCCCAGTTACGTCCGCTTAGCTTAGCGTTGCTTATCTTAGCTTAGCTTATTTCATCTTAACTTAGCTTAGCTTCATCTTAGTTCAGGTTTTTATTAGCTTAGTTTACCTTCATCTTAGCTTCGCTAAGCTTTAGCATAGCAGAGCACAGCATAGCATAGCGTAGCATAACATTGCGCAGCGCAGCATATCATGGCATAGTCCAGCATAGCATAGCATAGCGCAGCATAGCGTAGCATCGCATAGCATAGCGCAGCACAGCACATCACAGCAGAGCGCAGCATAGCATAGCATAGCATAGCATAGCAGCAACGCAAAGGCAAAGCGACAGCAGCGGTAGCAAAGCAAAGCACAAGCAACGCAAAGCAAAGCAAAGCAAAGCAACAGCAAAAGCAAAGCATATGACAAACAAAGCAAAAACAATGTGCGACAGATGCCGAGCTAGCCTCGCATAGCATAGCATAGCATAGCACAGCACAGCATAGCATAGCGCTGCATAGCAACGCATAGCATAGTATAACATAGCATAGCATAGCATAGCATAGCATAGCATAGCAAAGCGCAGCATAGCATGGCATGGCATGGCATATCATAGCATAGCAGAGCATAGCATAGCAACTACTGCTGCTTTCCTAGGGGCTCCAACTTCTAGGTAGGGCCGCACTGGGGGAGTCTGTCTCATGCTTCGTCCAAGAAGCGCCTCGATAGGAGGACATGCCCGACCCACTTCCGGCGGGCCGCCGACGCCGCCGCCGCCCCGGCGGCGCCGCCAGGCCGCCCTCGCTCTGGGGGCCGCGGGCGCGCTCGCGCTGGCGGCCGCGAGGCCCGCCGGGGCCGGCCGCCGGGGCCCGCGGGTCGCGCGCGGGTTGCTGCCGCCCGAGGATGCGCGCGGGCGGGGCCCCGCCCGCAAGCAGCGGCGAGGCGCCAAAGGGGGAGGGGGAGGGGGAGGGGGAGGGGGAGGGCGGGAGGGGGAGGGGGAGGGCGGAGGAGGGGGAGGGGGGAGGGCGGGGGAGGGGGAGAGGGGAGGAGGAGAGAGGAGAGGAGGAGGAGGAGGAGGAGGAGGAGGAGAGGAGGAGGGAGGAGGAGGAGGAGGGAGGGGAGGAGGAGGAGGGGGAGGGGGAGGAGGAGGAGGGAGGAGGAGTGGGAGGGGGAGGGGGAGGGAGGGGGGAGGGGAGGAGGGGAAGGGGGGAGGGTGGAGGGGGAGAGGAGGAGGAGGAGAGGATGGAGGAGGAGGGAGGAGGAGGAGGAGGAGGAGGAGGAGGAGAAGGAGGAGGATAATGGATTATGGGTTGTGGACTATGGATTGGCCTGCCTCCGAAGAGGCAGGTCCGAGGAGGAGGAGGAGGATGAGGAGGAGGAGGAGGAGGAGGCGGAGGAGGAGGAGGAGGAGGACGATCCAAGGTTGAACGGGCGACGCGGCGTCACGAACCATGGCGCGTGGCGACGCCGCCCGAACCTGCCGCATGCGACTCGACTGGAGTCGGGCCTGTCCCTCCACAGGAGGAGGATCCAAACATTGTAAAAAGATAGTCTGGGGACGGTCATTTGTTGGCCTTTTCTGTGGAGTAGTTCTGGACTTTTGCTCTGTTTCGTGGGCCTTCTCTGGCCTTTCTTTGTTTTGCTTTTTCGTCCTCGAAGGTCGGCCTGTAGGGGGACAGGCCCGGCCTGAGAGGCTTGACCGTGTAGGCTTACGTCGGGCCTGTTCCTCGACAGGGGGCATATTCCAGAACAGTAGAAATAGTAGAAAAAGTAATAGTGAAACATATTCAAGCATAGGAGTATGAGTCTGGGGGCTATTTCTTAAGTGTTTCCTTTTTTTAACCATTGTTGAGCATGTTTCGAGTATCGTTTGTTTTTCGTCTGGCGGCGTGGAGCGCGGAGAGAGCGCAGGGCCCCGGCGCGCGCAGGAGCAGAAGGGCTACGTCGGCAACGCGCTGGGGCGCCCCGCGCCCGCGCCGGGGATGGAGGGAGCTGCTCTCGGATGGACTACGCGTGAGAGTCCCAGAGATCCAGAGCATTGAAAAAAAACCAAGACGAAGGCCTTTCGCAGTTTTCAGCCTCTGGGGGCCCTCGCCAGGCCCCAGGACCGCCAACAGAAAAGGCCCAGGGTGAAAGACCGGTCCTGGGGAACGGGTCGAGGTTTCCGGGGATGGAGGGAGCAGCTCTCGGAGCGACCACGCTCGAAGAAGAAACAAAAAGCACATAAACATCAACTCTTGGCGCTCCGCGCGGATTTCTTGGATCCGCGCCTGGGCCCCCCGGCGGCGCCTCCAGCGCCGCTCCTGGCGCGCTCCGCGCGCCAGAGGGGGGTCCAGCGGGAATCCAGGAAATCCGCGCGGAGCGCCAAAAGTTTACGTTTGTGTTTTTGTTGTTCTGTTCTTCTATACACATAAGAGTGACCGTTCGCCAGAGTGAACTTTGGTGCGGGCGCACTTGGGTCCCCCGATCGCTGAGCTCGATGCGACAGCAGCGGCTTGCGCGATTGGGTTTGGGATCCCCGCTCCCACCGAAAGCCGCGCAACAAGGGTCAAGCTTGCCCAGGGTCACTCTTGCGTGTAGCCGATCGGAGGAGGAAAAGTTTCCCATACCGCTACCCTTGACTCGTGTTCGCGTTTTGGGGCCTCCTGGGAGGCCCTCGTCACCACCGCTGGATTTGCTTCAAAATGTTGGTCAGACCGCACTCCAGGAGAGGTCTGGGAGTAGCGGTATCGGAACCTGCCTTGTCTCCCCAAGGTCCCTCTCCCCGCCGATCTCCTCGCCCTCCCTTTCCCTCCTCCTCCTCCTCCCTCCTCCTCCTCCTCCTCCTCCTCCTCCTCCCTCCTCCTCCTCCTCCTCCTCCTCCTCCTCCTCCTCCTCCTCCTCCTCCTCCTTTGGCGCCGGCTCAGGGTCCCAGGTGGCCCAGCTCAGGCTCCGGCGAGCAGGAAAGGGTGGTGGAGAGATTCGAGGCTATGGGTTTGAGAAGTGCTTTCTTTTTATTCAGCCTCCAGGAGAGGCCGTCTTCGAGCCCCGATACCCTCAAAATCGGATCCAGGGTGAAAAACTGCACCAGATGGACCCTGCGAAGGGTCCGGCGCGGGCGGTGAGAAAACAGGTCGAAGAAGGGAGTCCAGGGCAGGTCCTCTCAGAATCAGTCCCCGAAGCCCTCCCGGGCTCGAGATCGTCAAGCTTTTCGAGCCGCGCCCAGCCCTGACGACAGGGGGGGCCCCTTCGCCCCCCCGGCCTGCTGGCCGCAACAAGAGCTGGGCCACCTCAGCCTCTCGGCCAGCTCCAACGTGGTGGGCCCGTGGCCGGAGACCACGCGCCTCCCCGTCAAGCGGCCTAACCAGTACAGGCCGTAGTTTGGCATCGCTTGGTATCTCTTGGAAGCGAGGGTGGTCAAAAGCGAGGTAGGTTTGTTTTCCCCCTAGAGAAGGGGGTCAGTGCGAGCGCGGGGTCAGGCAGAGCGCCGGATCTGGAAGGGTCCCGCAGAGCCAGGGGCTCCGTGGACCCGGGATCGGGCGCAGGATCCCGGAGGGTCTCTCACAGGATCTTGCCAGATCCTGCGGCGCACGGCTGACGCCGACCTGGGCCAGTGGATCCCCGATTTTGCGGGGCCCCAAGGTATACACCACCGCCACCACCATCTCCCTCATCCCCTCCCTCTCCCAGGGAAGAGGAGAGGAAGGTGAGGGTGGAGGAGGAGGAGGAGGAGGCGGAGGAGGAGGAGGAGGACGAGGTGGAGGAGGAGGGTGGAGGAGGAGGAGGAGGTGGAGGAGGAGGAAGAGGAGGAGGAGGAGGAGGAGGAGGGGGAGGAGGAGGAGGAGGAGGGGTCCGCACCGCTGGTTCTCGGCCACCGCCGCTCCGTCGCTCCGCTGGCCGCGGCGGGGGCGGCAGGCCGTTCCGACGCGGTCCGCGCTTTGTTTGTTTTTTGTATTTTTTTTTTTTGTGTTTTTTTTTTTTTTTTTTTTTTTTGCGTTTTTTGTTTTTTGTTTTTTTTTTTTTTTTTTTTTTTTTTTATTTTTTTTTTTTTTTGTTTTTTTTTGTTTTTTTTTTTTTTTTTTTTTTTTTTTGTTTTTTTTTTTTTTTTGTTTTTTTTTTTTTTTTGTGTTATTTGTTTGCTTTGGTTTTTTTTTTCATTTCTTTTGTGGGCGGGAGCGGGGAGGGACGGGGTCTTTGGCGCCAGATCTTGCAGGATCCTGCAGGGCCAGGCTCCCATTGTCCCGGGTTTGGGCGCAGGATCCTGCAGGATCTTGCAGGATCTTTCGCATTGACCCGGGTTTGGGTGCAGGGTCTTGCAGGATCTTGTCCGATTCTGAAAGCCTTGGCTGACCTCTGGGTTGACCCGGGTCAGGAGATCCCCGAGTGGTGCCCGCGGGGGCCCTCTGCTCGGAGCACCGCCAGCTGCCAGAGGAAGAGATGGCGATTTCGGGGGTTCCCAGAACACCATTCCCAGGCCACATTTTGAATGCCAGAGGAGGAGATGGCGATCTCGGGGGCCATGTCTCGTTTTTCCGAGGGAGGGCCCTCGTCGCCACGGCCGGATTCTAGGCCTCCCAGATGGGGTCGGAGCAGATGGGGTCGGAGGATCGCGCCGCATCGCCGATGCGTCGCCGATGCGGCTCGATGCGGAGCCCGATGTTCTCCACGCCGACGTCGCCGATGCATCGCCGACGTCGACGATGCATCGCCGGTGCATCGCCGATGCATCGTTGATGCATTGTCGGTGTATCGGCGATGCGGAGCGATCCTCCGACCCCATTTACTCCGACCCCATTCGGGAGGCCTTTTATGGATTCGCCCAGAAGTCTTGGCCAGGCCGCACCGCAGGAGAGGTCCGGGGAGGTGCGGCATCGGTGTCTGCCGGTTGCCCACAGCTGGGGCTTCGGCGACGGCTCGGACCCTCCACTCGCACACGCTCTGCGTCGGGCCACCTGCGACGTCGCGCGAGGCAATCAAGACACCTCGCGTCCAGGCAGCGTCACTTGCGCCACAGATCCCCCCGGGCGAGGAGCGGCGATGCTGGATGCTGGTTGTTGGATTGGCCTGCCTCCGAAGAGGCAGGTCCGAGAAGTACTGGGTGAACCGCGAGGGTCAGAAACACGAATTTGCCACGCAGCTGGACACGGTGATACAGTGCTCGCCCTTCACATCAAAGTTGTCAACGTCACACCCGAAGGAGTTTTCAAAGCTTTCCTCAAAGACACCGACGATTTCTCAGAAGGCGCGAGGGCTTCTGAGAAGGCCCGCCGCCCTTCTGAGAGCGCCTCCTCCTTCTGACCCCCCCCCCCCTGCTGGCCGCCGCATGGGGGGGCAGGAAGAAAGGATGGAGTGGAACGGGGGAAGGGGGGAGGAGGAGGAGGAGGAGGAGGAGGAGGAGGAGGAGGAGGAGGAGGAGGAGGAGGAGGAGGAGGAGGAGGGAGGAGGAGGGGGGGGCAGCGAAGGCCAGGGCCTCGGACGCTCCGCAGGTACGTGACCCTGTGGACCAACTTCATGCTGGGCTTCTTCGGCTCGCTGTACGGCAGGGGCCGGGCGGGGAAGGAGGGGAAGCGTGAGGATGGTACGCGGGGAGGCCCCCAAGAGGCCCCCAAAGGGCCCCCAAGAGGCCCCGAGAAGCTTCAAAACTCGCTCCACAAGGCGCCCGAGAAGCATGCCAAGATACCCCTGATGACATGTATCCAAGAAGCCTCTGGCCACCTCACCTTTGGGATAACCCCCCGTCGACGGCACTCCCGACGGGAGGGCCTCTCGTACACGGCGGGACGGCTCCCGAGACGCCGCCCGCCTCCTGCTCAGCGAGGGCCAAGCGTGAGGATGGCACGCAGGGAGGAGGGACAGAGCAGGAACAGGTGCCTCGTCTTTACCTTCTTGGGCCACGGGCCTCCCAGGTCAGAGCAGAAACAGGTGCCGATACCGCTACCCTTGCCTCGGCTTCCCCTTCTTGGGCCCCGGGCCTCCTGGGTCAGAGCAGAAACAGGTGCCGATAACCGTCACCGTCACCCTTGCCTCGTCTTCACCTTCTCAGGGCCTCCCGGGTCAGAGCAGAAACAGGTGCCGATACCGCTACCCTTGCCTCGTCGTCCCCTTCTTGGGCCCTTAGCCTCCTGGGTCAGAGCAGAAACAGGTGGCGATACCGCTACCCTTGCCTCGTCTTCGCCTTCTTAGTGCCTCCCGGGTCAGAGCAGAAGCAGGTGGCGATACCGGTACCCTTGCCTCTTCTCCACCTTTTTAGGGTAGGGGCTCCTGGGTCAGAGCAGAAACAGGTGCCGATACCGCTACCCTTGCTTCGTCTTCCCCTTCTTGGGCCCGGGCCTCCTGGGTCAGAGCAGAAACAGGTGGCGATGCCGCTACCCTTGCTTCGTCTTTACCTTTTTAGTGCCTCCTGGGTCAGAGCAGAAGATCGTGCCGATACGGCTACCCTTGCTTCGTCTTCACCTTTTTACTGCAGGGCCTCCTGAATCAGAGCAGAAACAGGTGCCAACCGCTACCCTTGACTCGTCTTCACCTTTTTAGGGCCTCCTGGGTCAGCGCAGAAACAGGTGCCGATACCGCCACCTTTGCCTCGTCTTCACTTTCTAGGGCCTCCTGGGTCAGAGCAAACACAGGTGGCGATACCGCTACCCTTGCTTAGTCTTCACTTTTTCAGGTCATCTTGGGTCAGAGCAGAAACAGGTGCCGATACCGCTACCCTTGATTCGCCTTCCCCTTTTTTGGCGTCCTGGGTCAGCGCAGAAACAGTTACCGATACCGCTACCCTTGCCTCGTCTTCACCTTCTTGGGCCCCGGGCCTCTTGGGTCAGAGCAGAAACAAGTGGCGATGCCGCTACCCTTGTCTCGTCTTGACCTCTTTAGGGCCTCCTGGGTCAGAGCAGAAACAGGTGCCGATACCGCTACCCTTGTCTCGTTTTCACCTCCTGAGGGCCTCCTGGGTCAGAGCAGAAACAGGTGGCGATGTCGCTAGCCTTGCTTCGTCTTCACCTTTTTAGGGCCTCCTGGGCCAGAGCAGAAACAGGTGCCGATACCGCTACCCTTGCTTAGTCTTCACCTGTTAGGGCCTCCTGGGTCAGAGCAGAAACAGGTGCCGATACCGCTACCCTTGCCTCGTCTTCACCTTTTTGGGGCCTCGTGGGTCAGAGCAGAAATCGGTGCCGATACCGCTACCCTTGCTTTGTCCTCACCTTTTTAGGGCATCCTGGGCTAGAGCAGAATCAGGTTCCGATACCGCTACCCTCGCTTTGTCTTCACTTGTAAAGGGCCTCCTGGGTCAGAGCAGAAACAGGTGCCGATGCCGCGACCCTTGCTTCGTCTTTACCTTTTTAGTGCCTCCTGGGTCAGAGCAGAAGATCGTGCCGATACGGCTACCCTTTTTTTCTTATTTTTTTTTGTTTTTTTTTTTTATTTTTTTTTTTTTTTTTTTTTTTTTGTTTGTTTTTTTTTTTTTTTTTGTTTGTTTTTCTTTTTTTGTTTTTTGTGTTTTTTTTTTTTTTTGCTTTTTTTTCTTTTTGTTATTTTCTTTTCTTTTTTTTTGCTTCGTCTTGAACTTTTTAGGGCGTCCTGGGTCAGCGCAGAAACAGTTGCCGATACCGCTGCCCTTGCTTCGTCTTGACCTTCTTGCAGAGCCTCCTGGGTCAGAGCAGGAACAGGTGCCGATACCGCTACCTTTGCCTCGTTGTCTTCTTTTTGGGCCTCCTGGGTCAGAGCAGAAACAGGTGCCGATACCGCTACCCATGCCTCGTCTTCACTTTTTTAGGGCCTCATGGGTCAGAGCAGAAGCAGGTGTCGATACTGCTACCCTTGCTTCGTCTTGACCTTTTCAGGGCCTCCTGGGTCAGAGCAGAAACAGGTGCCGATACCGCTACCCATGCCACGTCTTCCCCTTTTTCGGGCCTCCTGGGTCAGCGCAGAAACAGGTGCCGACTCCGCTACCCCTGCTTTGTCTTCACCTTTTCAGGGCCTCCCGGGTCAGAGCAGAATCAGGTGCCGTCTCCGCTACCCTTGCTTCGTCTTCACCTTGTCAAGGGCCTCCTGGGTCAGAGCAGAAACTAGGTGCCGACGCCGCTACCCTTGCCCCGTCTTCCTCTTTTCGGGCCTCCCGGGAGGGCCCTCGTCGCCACGGCTGGACTCGCCCCGAAACTCCTGGTACCAGCGCATCCTGGGAGAGGCGGGTGGACGAGTGATCTACCGGTATAATTTCGTTCCCCCAGGGTCGGGAGCCTCGAGACGGGGGTCAATGCAAGCGGGGGTCAGCCAGGGCAGCGGATCCTGCAGGATCCTGCGAAGACCCCTTCTGGCTGTCCCGGGGTAAGCGAGCCGCTCGTGGCCGCGAGGCGGCCGCGCCTATTGGCTGACCCGGGGTTGCGAAGACCTGCGTTGCAGTTTTTTGTCTTTTCCTGCATTGCAGTTTTTGGTTACCTGCTGACACGGGTCTGGATTGACCCGGGTCAGAAGATCCCCGACAGGGGAGGAGCATAAGTCGGGGGTGGACAGACCTACCCTGACACGTCGATTAAGGAATTGGCCGTTTCCGGTTTGCGAGAGGGCGTCGCGGCCGTCATTTTTGCGGGTCCAGGTCCGTCGGTATCGGTCCCAGGCTGTTTGCACTAAACGGAGGTTTACTAAAGGGAGGTTTGTCCACCGCCGAATAAGGGGGCCGAGGAGAGGGGAGACTGCTGAGGATCACGAGACGGAGGAAAGGGAAGCGGATGAAAACACAGGGAGGCGCGGAGGAGCACAGAGGTGCGAAGGAAGGGGACGGACAAAGGCGCGGGAGGAGGAGGAGGAGGAGGAGGAGGAGGAGGAGGAGGAGGAGGAGGAGGAGGAGAGCAGAATGAGACGGAGGAGCGAGAGGCGAGGAGGAGGAGGAGGAGAACGAGGAGGAGGAGGAGGAGGAGGAGGAGGAGGAGGCGAAGCAGGAGAAGGAGGAGGAGGCGGAGGAGGCGCTGGCCCAGCGCCCTGCCGAGCACGAGTCGACGGGCCGAGGAGGGCACGGCCAGGGGGAGAGGAGAGGAAGCACGACAGTGCGGACGAGTGTGGAGCATGTGTGAAGATCATGGGGAGCAGTGGCACCAGGATGAGCGGAATCCGGGTCAGGATCAGGGGGAAGGGGCGGATAATGAGAGCGATGGGGTTCAGGCGGCATCGTGCGCGAGATGGCCAGGCCAGGGCCCCTGAAGTTCATCATCCCCATCCTGGCGATCAGCATCATCACCTTCCTGGACCGCGCTCTCTCTCTCTCTCTCTTTCTGGAACTGTGTTCCTCGCCCCTCGCTCGCACCACAGCCCAGGCATCCCGCGTCTACGCAGCCTTGACTGCGGGGGCGAGAGTTGAGGCGGGGGGCGGCTCGGGCCCAGGCGCCTCCCGAACGTACCAGACTTCGTGGCGTCGTGCACATCAGCTTTGAAACCAAAATCAATGCCGGAGAAGAGCTTCGAATGGTCGCCAGGCGGAACGACACGAACAGTGCCGTTTCGTACGCTCCAGCTTGAGCATGCACGTCACGATGCCTTCGGCCATCCCCCGCTGCCGCCCCCACGCTGCAGAAGCGGCGGCCCCCGGGGCTCTTGTGCTCTCGAGTGTTGGGGGGCGGGGGCGCACTGAGGGGGCGCATGCGTGGAGGTTGCGCCCACGAGTGCATTGCTGAGCGGTGGGGGCTCAGCACAGGGCAACGGCGTGCCCCAGCGGAGCCGAGAGGAGGAGGAGGAGGAGGAGGAGGAGGAGGAGGAAGAGGAGGAGGGAGAGGAGGAGGAGGAGGAGGAGGAGCCGGAGGAGGGAGCCGGAGGAGCCGGAGGAGCCGGAGGAGGAGCTGGAGGAGGAGGAGGAGGAGCTGCAGGAGGAGGAGGAGGAGGAGCTGGAGGAGAAGGAGGATGAGGAGGAGAACGAGGAGGAGGAGGAGGAGGAGGAGGAGGAGGAGGAGGAGGAGGAGGAAAAGGAGGAGGAGGAGGAGGAGAAAAAGGAGGAGAAAAAGGAGGAGAAGGAGGAAAAGGAAAAGCGCAGCGCCTCCGGCTGCCGAGGCCCGCGGACGCCTGCGCCCCTTGCCAGCGCCGCCGCGCCGACGGGCAGCTCTGCGGAGCGGACCTTGCGCGCGCCCCGACGCACCCCTTGTGCTGCCGCACCGGCGCGTGCACGCGGGCGCGCCACAACGCCCTCCGCAACTGGGTCGCGAACTGGCTCAACGAGCGCGGGGCGAGGGGCGTGGACACCGAGCAGGTCGGCGAGGGGCGTGGACACCGAGCAGGTCGTCGCCGCTTTGGACAGGGTCCTCCCGGATGGCCGCCTTGAGGCGGCGCGCCTGGACGTCGCCTGCGTGGACCCGGTGGCGGGCGCCGCGTACGTGGACGTCGTGGTGACGGACGCGGCCGGCGGGGCCGCGACGCCGGCGGGGCGGGGCTGGGCGGGCTTGGCGTGACGGGGCTGCGGCGGCAGCGGCGGAGGAGCGCAAGCACCGCCGCCACCCCGGCGCGGGGCTTTGCGCCTCCGTGCTGGAGACGCTGGGCAGGCCGGGGCTCGAAGCGCAGGACCTCCTGCGAACCTGGGCAGCCGGCGACGCGGCCGTGCTCTCGGCGGCGTGCCAAAGCATGGCCGCCGCGCTGCAGCGGGCCAGCGCCGAGGCGTTTAACACCTCGGTGTGGCCGCCCGGGCGGCGCGCCCGGCCGCGCTTCCTGAGGCGCTGAGCAACCGACCCACGGGCCGCCCGCAGCCGGGGCTGGAGCGCCACGACGCGAGCGCGAGGGCGCGCGCTGGCGGCGGCTTGGGCATTGCCGGCGAGGCGGCCGCGGTTCGGAGGCTGCGCCTGAGCAGCGGCGGTCACGACCAGCCTTTCCAGCCCCCCCTCGCCCCCCCCCCCTCCCCTTCTCTGCGCTTCTTCTGGCCATCCCGCGCTCGCGGCACTTCCTTTGGCCTTATTCGTTCCGATCCCATCCTTCCTCCTCCCCTCTCCTTTCCCGCTCCTTGCCTCCGGTGGCGCAGGGGCCCCGGCCGTGCGTCCGCCTCCTCCGCCTCCCGGTTCCTTCAAGCTCTCCCTCCCCTCTTCCCTCCTTTCCCCCTTGCCCTCCTAGCTGCTCTCGCCAGCTGCGCAGGCTCGGGCACGCGGTGGCGAAAGTGGCCTGTGGGTCGTGTCGTGTGTGGTTCGTTGGCGCCACGCGCGTTTGCTCGAGCCGGTTCTGTCTCCAGGTCAGGACCGCCTCGCCCCCTGCTGCTGCTTGCTGGCCCGCCTCTGTCCTCTCCCTTTTTTTCTGCTGCAGGAGGAGGCTGCAGGAGGAGGCGGAAGAGAAGGAGGAGGAGGAGGAGGAGGAGGAGGAGGAGGAGGAGGAGGAGGAGGAGGGGGAGAAGGAAAATGAAGAGGAGGCGGAGGAGGAAAAGGAGGAGGAGCAGGAGGAGAAGGAGGAGGAGGGGGAGCCGAGAGTGGGAATGGGATCTTTCGCTGGAGTGACCTTCGGCGCGGGCCCACAGGGCCAGCGCGCTTGGCGCTAGCCGCCCGCTGGGCCCCACCGCCGCGAAGTACATGGCATGTTCAAGATTCTTGCCGAGTGGGTACATTGGCGCGTAGCCGATGGAAGCGGAGCGTAGCCAGAGCTGATGAGGTCGGGAGATCGCGTCACATTGCCGATGCATCGGCGATGCGGCGCGATCTGGCGCACGCTCCTCGTCATCCCGCCGTCGCCGAGGCATCGTTGTTGCATCGGCGACGTGGTGCGATGTTCGACCCGAGCTGTCCCGGCCCAATTTGGGAGGCTTCCAGTGGTGGGTGCACATGAGTAGGTTAACGAGGACAAGGAGAAGGAGGAGGAGGAGGAAGAAACGTCTGATGATGACGATGGAAACATCGATGGCGATAATTTTGTTGATGTTGGTGTTATCGGCCCGCGAGGCTGATGATGCTGGTTGTGATGATCCTTATCAGGGTGCGATGAAGATGTTGATGATGCTCATGATCGTGATCGTCATTATGCTGCTGATGGTGAGGCTGGTGGTGATGATGAATTTGATGATGGTGGTAATGCTGATGATGATCATGAACCCTTAGGCCGTTGATCATGCCGAGCTGTGCGATGGCACCCCTGCGGGAGAGGAGGAGGAGGAGGAGGAGCAGGACGACGACGACGACGACGACGACGAGGAGGCAGAGGAGGAGGTGGAGGAGGAGTAGGCAGAGGAGGCAGAGGAGGAGGAGGAGGAGGTGGAGGAGGAGTAGGCAGAGGAGGAGGTGGATGAGGAGTAGGCAGAGGAGGCAGAGGAGGAGGAGGAGGAGGTGGAGGAGGAGGAGGAGGAGGAGGAGGAGGAGGAGGAGCAGGCAGAGGAAGAGGAGGAAGAGGAGCAGGCTGAGGAGGAGGAGGAAGTGGACGAGGAGGCGGAGGAAGGAAGAGGAGGAGGAGGACTGTAGCGTCCTTGAAGGTCGGCAAACCATGGCAGCCGGGTGGGCGTAGGGGATCTCTCATCCTTGAAGCGGTGCTCGTAAAGGATGGGAGGACGAGCTTTCGGCCCCCAGAGTTTGCTACAAGGACTTGTGTTGGTACCTCGTAGTTCGGCATACCCTGCAACAGTCACCTCTCAAAAATAATTCCCCGAGACGTGCCCAACCCATTCTCCACGTGAGGCGAGTCTTTGCCTGAACGATCCATACCGAAGAACGCATCGCCAGACATGCACGATCTCCGCTGCCCTCACTTCCGCTGTGCCTCCCAGGAGCCCACGAGGGTGGCGACAGTTGCACAAGTCGCAGCCTCCCAGGGAGCAGCGAGGTCTGGGCTGGATCCGCGTGGTCCAGGACTCTGGTGGACCTCCCGGGAGCCCATCAATTATGACGACAATTGCGCATGTCGCAGCCGACCATGGAGCAGCGAGGTCCGGTCTGGGTGCGCGTGGCCCCCGACTCTGCTGGACCTTCCAGGAGCTGCGCAGTTCGCAGCCACGCAGGGAGCAGCGAAGCCTCGGCTGGAAGCGCGTTGCCCGCGACTCCGCCGTGCCTCCCAGGAGCCTACGAAAGTGGGGACAGTTGTGCAGCTCGGAGCCCCAAATGGAGCTGTGACGAGGTCTGGTCTGGGTGCGAGTGGCCCCCGACCCCGCTGGACGGACCTTTAGGAGCCCACGAAAGTGATGTCAGTCGTCTGGGTTCGCGTGGCCCCCGACTCCGCTGGACCCTGGACCTCCCTGGAGCCCACGAAAGTGGTGACAGTCGCGCAGCTCGCAGCCACGCAGGGAGCTGCGAGGTCTCGTCTGGGTGCGCGTGGCCCCCGACTCCGCCGGACCTCCCAGGAGCCCACGAAAGTGGCGACAGTTGCACAGTTTGCAGCCACCAAGGGAGCAGCGAAGCCTCGGCTGGATGCGCGTTGCCCGCGACCCCGCCGTGCCTCCAAGGATCCCACGAAAGAGGTGACAGTTGCCCAGATCGCAGCCGCCCAGGGAGCTGCGAGATCTCAAATGGGTCCGTCTACTCCCCGACTCCGCCGTGCCTCCCAGGAGCCCACGAAAGTGCTGACAGTTGCCCAGATCGCAGCCCCCCAGAGAGCTGCGAGATCTCAAATGGGTCCTTTTACTCCCCGACTCCGCCGTGCTTCTCAGGCAGCCACGAACGTGGCGCCAGTTGCGCAGCTCGCAGCGACCCAGGGAGCTGCGAGATCTCAACTGGTCCGTTCACTCCCCGACTCCGCCGTGTTGCGCACCTCGCAGCCCCCCAGGGAGCAGCGAGGTCTCAACAAGTCCGTTTTCTCCTTGACTCCGCCGTGCCTCCCAGGAGCCCACGAAAGTGGCGACAGTTGCGCAGTTCGCAGTGACCAAGGGATCTGCGAGGTCTCAACTGGTCCGTTCACTCCCCGACTCCGCCGTGCCTCCCAGGAGCTCACGGAAGTGGCGACAGTTGCACAGTTCGCAGCCACCCAGGGAGCAGCGCAAAGGGGAAGGGAGAGGATGTGGGGGTGAGGAGAGGACGCAGGTGTGCGACCTTAGCGATTCTTTATACGAAAACCCGAGAATCCAACACAGGAGGGTTGGGACAAATACCGAGTAGGACCACTTGCCTTGCCGCCAAGCCGCGACCCAGAGGTCCGTGTCGCAGCGGGCGGGCGTACAGGACCGCCGGCATTGCAGCCAGGCTGTGTCCTGTGCGGCGGCCCCCCCTCGTTTCTCGGTTGTGAAGGGGGGGGCAGTGGCCAGCGCGGACGCCATTGCTATCGTTGCCTACGTGCCACCGGCTTGCCCATGGAGGCCTGTCCACAGTGGCGCCAGGAGGGAAGGACGATGTGACGGAGGGGTGCTCAAGGTTACGCCCTACCGCTGCCTCCTACAGGTTATTCAGCCTGACGCTCACCACCCACCAAACCACCCCAACCCAACCCGAAGGCTCAAATTTACCCTCGATTTCCAGTGGGGGGGGGGGTCGGGGAACATCGAAAAAACACGCGTGGAACCCTTACCCCCCCCAACCCGAAATTCTGGTCTTCGGGTTGGGTTGGGGTGGTCTGGTAGGTAGTCAGACGCTGAGAGGGCGGGCTGGCATCCCCCAGAATAGAGCCAGGTGCTGGCCCCCTGACCGGGTGGACTGCCCTACCGCAGGGCGGCCCCAAGGCAGGACGGGCCGCCGCCCAAGATGTGAACGGGCCGGACCCGCGGCATTGCCGCCTCCTCGAAGCCATCCTCCCGCGCAGCGAGGGGACACCTCGGACGGCACGCCCCCGCGCTCGAGAGGGAAGAGCTGTGGGCTTCGTCATGAGGAGGCGGAGGAGAAGGACGAGGAGCTGAGGCGCCTCAGCTCCTCGTCCGTCTCCTCCTCGTCCTCATCCTGCCTCGAGGCAGGATGAGGACGAGGAGGCCGAGGACGGTGGCGCGGAGGAGGAGCTGCCGCGGGAGGGCACGCATGGGGAGGCGGAAGAGGCGGGTGGACCTTGCCCTGGAAGCCAGGACACTGCCAGCCGGGGTGCTTTAAACTCCAGCGGGAGAGAGCGGCCACGAGGGAGTCGACCACCGCCCTGGCCTCACGTCGGGCCTGTCCCTCTACAGGAGGAATATTCCAAAATAGGCAAAACATCATAGTCGGGGACGATGTCTCTACCCATTCTGAATATCTCAGGGCAAACAGAAATAGTCGGGGGACGATTTCCCTACCAATTTCGAATATCTCAGGGTATTCTTTGACTATGTTCAACTTCTCGCTTAAGATCGGCCTGCAGGGGGACAGGCCCGACTTAACCCTGGCCTGTCCGTGCCCCCCCCACGCCTCGAGCAATTCTCCTGGGTGGAGGGCTCTCTGGGGGGGGGGGGAGGAGGAGGAGGAGGGGGGGAGGGGGAGGGGGAGGAGGAGGAGGGGGAGAGGGGGAAGGAGGAGGAGGAGGAGGGAGGAGGAGGAGGAGGAGGGGAGGAGGAGGGAGGAGGAGGAGGAGGAGGAGGAGGACGAGCACGCGGCGCGAGGCTCCGACGGGGCGCGCCCAGGGGAGCCCGCGGGCGCGCACGCCCCCCGCTCGGAGGGGGGCCTCGGGGGCCGCAGCGGCTGCCGTACGGCGGGAGCGGCCGCGCCACCGCTGCCGACGGCAGTACGTCACCCTCCGGCTCATGACCAACAACCCCATCTTCTGAGCGCCGCCAGAGGTCCCTCCCACCTCGTCTTTTTTTCTCTCTCTCGCTCTCTCTGTCTTTCTCTCCTTCTCTCTCTCTCTTTCTATATATATAAGTATATCCTGTTCGTGCATGCTTCTTGCCTCTTGCTTCGCTCTCTCTCTCTCTCTCTCGCTCTCTCTCTCTCTCGTTCTCTCTCCCTCTCTATATATATAGCATGCTTGTTTATGTTCATCGCTTTATGCTATATGTGTACACAGGTTGCGTTTCTTTCTCTCTCTCTCTCTTTCTCTCTCGCTGTCCAACTTTCGCTTTCAGTTTGTTCGTGTCTCTCTCTTTCTCTCTCTTTCGATCCTCGCTCTCTCTCTCTCTCTCTCTTTCTCTCTCACTCTCTCCCTCTCTCTCTCGCTCTGTCCCTCGCGATCTCATTCAAGCCCTCTGTCTCTCTGGCTCCATTGTGTCCGCTCGCCCTCGCTCTCTCTCTCTCTCTGTCTCTCTCTCTCTCTCTCTCTCTGTTTTTTTTTTTTTTTTTTTTGTTTTCTCTCTCTCTCTCTCTCTCTCTCTTTCTCTCTTTATATATCTCTTTATGTTTCTCCCTCTCTCTCTCTCTTTCTTACTGCCTGGTTCAATGGTCCCCCTCATCTCTCTCCAACTCTGTTTCTCTCTCGCTCTCTCTCTCTCTCTTTCTCCTTCTGTTTCTCTGTTTCTCTTTCTCTCTCTCTCTTGCTCTGTCTTTCTTTTTGATGATCCTTCTCTCTCTCTCTCGGTCTCTCTCTCTCTCTCTCTCTGTCTTTCCCTGTCTCCCTCTCTCTCTCTCTCTTTGTCTATCTCTCTCTCTCTCTCTCGGTCTCTCCGCCTCCCCCCCCCCCCCCCCCGATCCCGATGCATCCCCCCCTGCCCCGTTGCCTGCATTGCCTTTCGACTCATCTGTTGTTTGTTCTCTCTCTCTCTCTCGATCATCGCTTTCTCCTTATTTCTCTCTCTCTCTCTCTCTCCTTCCTTCCATCCCTCCCTCTTCTGTCTCAAGATTAGTCACGCCCTCCGTCTAGCTGTCTCCATCTGTTCCTGTCTCTCTCTCTCTCTCTGATTCTCTCTCTTTCTCTCTGTCACTCGTCCTCTCCCTCTCTCCTTCTCTCTTTCTTTCTCTCCTTGTTGTCTCTCGAGCATCTTTCAATGCCCCCCTCTTCTCTCTCTCCCCCTCTCACTCCAGCTCTGTCTCTCTCTCTCTCTCTCTCTTTGTCTGTCTCCAACTCTCGCTCCCGTCTCTGTCTCTCTCTCTCTCTCTCTCTTTCTCGCTGTCTCTTTCTTTGTTGTCTCTCTCTCTCTCTCTCTTTTTCTTGTTCTCTCTCTCTCTATATATATATATGTATGTATATCGTCTCCCCCTTCCTCTCTATCTCTGTCTTTGTCGTTCCATCCTTATCTCTGTCTCGTTCTCTCCGCCCCCCTGCCCCGATCCCGATGCATCCCCCCATCTGGTTTCCGGCCTTGCGTCTTGCGTCTCGGCTGATCCCTCTCTCTATATTGTGTTGTTGTTGTAATGTGTTGTTGTTGTTGTTGTTGATGTTGTTAATGTTGCTGTTTCTGGTGTTGTTGTTGCTGTTGTGGTTGTTGTTGTTGCTGTTGTGGTTGTTGTTGTTGTTGTTGCTGGTGTTGGTGTTGTTGTTGTTTGTTTGTTAGTTGACGTCTCTCTATCTCTCTCTCTCTCTCTTTGTGATCTCGCGGTTTCTCTTTCTCTCTCTCTCTCACGCATAGGCGTGTGCATCTTTAGATGTACATCGAAGACGCCTGCGGCGATCCAAACGCTGCCCCCTCCTGGAAGCGCACATGTGGCTAAACGTTGGGCCAAAGCCTAGCCAAGCTATTGGACTCTGTGTCCCCCCCAGCCTCATGGAAAACCTTGGACCGCCAGGGGGAGGGCCATGAGGAAGAGGAGGGGGAGGAGGAGGCCACTTCGGGGCCTCCTGGGGCCACGCGGCCGAGACCCCACCGGGCACCTTTTGGCAGGGTTAAACAGCGATGATTGTCCAGGACGCCGAGAGCCGATGTTTGCAAAGAACAAGGGGCCGGCGGATAGAAGTCGCCCACGCCGCCGCCCCCTGCCTTTTGGAAGCGCCCATGCGACGAAACGTTGGGCCGAAGTCTGGCGGCGCTATTCGACTATGTGTTACCCCAGCCTTCATGGAGCCCCTTGGGGAAACACTTTGAAGCGGAAGAGAAAGGAGGAGGAGGAGGAGGAGGAGGAGGAGGAGGGGAGGAGGAGGAACAAGAAGCGGAGGCCTTTTGAGGCCCTTTTGGGGGGAGCCTCTTGGGGGCCTCCTGGGGGGCCTTTTGGGGGCAACCTGGAAGCCTCTTGGGGGCCTCTGTGGGGCCTCTGTGGGGCTTCTGGGGGCCTCTGGGGCAGTCGCGGGTCCCTCTTCGGACTCTTTAGGGCCGTCTTGAGGCCCTCTTTGACCGTCGTGGGGCCCTCTTGGGCCGTCTTGGGGATCTCCTGGGAGCCTCTTGGGCGATATTGGGGCGATCTTGGGGGCCAATTGGGCCGTCTTGGAGCTTCGAAAGCCCGAAACGGCGAGCATGTTAAAATCAGAAAAAAAACACTGAACAATCAATGCTTCTGGCATCTTGGCGGTCCTCTCGGATCCCTCTTGGGGCGTCTTTGGGGCCTCTTGGGCAGTATGGGAGGTATCTTGGGGCTACCTTGGGCCGTCTTGGGGCAATCTTGGCCGTCTTGGAGGCGTCTTGGGACCGTCTTGGAGGCCATCTTGTGTCATCTTGGGGCCTCTTGGAGCGGTCTTGGGGCCATCTGGGTCGTCTTGGTGGCCATCTTGGGGCCATCTTATGCGAGAACGCCGACGACAGACCTCTTTCATGGGTCCTTCCGGGTGGCTGGTGCGACCAGCCAGGACAACACTGGAAACATTCGATTCTAGCAAGTCTATTACCTAACATCCGCCCGCCGTGCACCCCTGTGGCAAGCCACAGGGGGCGGTGTATCGAAGACGCCTTCGGCGAGTCACCGTCGCCCCCTGCCCTTTCGGAAGCGCCTATGTGGCCGAATGTTGAGGCCAGAGCCCTGCCAAGCTGTCGGACCATGCGTTCCCCGAAATGGTTTGGAAAGCCTTCGGGGAACACGTGGGGGAGGACGGGGAAGAGGAGGAGAGTGAGGAATGGGCGTGTTCGGGGCCCCTTGGGGGCTCTTGTGAGCTTTGGGAGGCGTCTTGGGGCCTGCTGGCCGAAGGTTGGGTCAGATCCTTGCCATTCTTTCGGAACGAGTGTTCCCCGAATCGGTTTGGAAAGCTTTCGGGGAACACGTGGAGGAGGTTGGGGAAGACGAGGAGAGTGAGGAAAAAGGGGAAGGGCGGACGAGTCCTCTTGGAAGCCTTTTGAGGCACTCTGGGGCTCAATTGGGCAATCTGGAGGCCATTTTGACCCTCTTGGGCCCTCTTGGAGACCTCTTGCGGGCCTTTTGAGCAGTCTAAGGCCGTCTTGAGGCCATCTGGGGCCGTCTTGGGTGCATCTTGGGGCTATCTTCGCTGTCTTGGAGGCCTTCTTGGCCGTCTTGGAGACATCTTGGAGGCCATCTTCAGCGTCTTCGGGGCCATCTTGGGCCGTCTTGGGCTCTTCTTGGGGCCCTTTTGGGGGCCTCTTGGGCTGTCATGGGGCCATCTTGGAGGCCTCTTGGGCGCTCTTGGGACGATGTTTGGGGCCTCTTGGGCCGTCTTGGGCCGTCGCGGAGCTGATAAGAACATGCCAACATCCTTCAAACACCTAATGGCAATCAATGATTTGTGCCCTTTCGGGCCTTCCTCTGGAGGACGTCTTGGAGACCTCTTGGGGGCCTCTTGGCCAGTCTCAGGCAATCGTGGAGCCATCTTGGGCCGTCTTGGAGGCATCTTGGACCCTCTAGGACTGTCTTGGAAGCCATCTTGGACCATCTCAGGCGGACTTGGAAGCCATCTTGGGCCATCTTGGAGGCACCCTGGAGTTCATTTGGGGCCATCTTGGGCATGACAGGCATTGACGTGTGCAGTCTGGGGTCTCCTCGGGTGGCCGGCGGGACGGGCCGAAGCCCCAGTGAGTTTCCTAAAAGAGCCCACATCGAAAGGATCTAGCACGCCTGGCACCCCTGTGGCAAGCCAACAGGGTGCGGCGGATACAGTTCAGGAGGAAAAGAAACACACAGACACAATTAATCGTCGAGTCCCAGGAAAATATGGGAAAATATGGGAAGTGGGGGGAAGACAAAAATCCAGAAAATATGAGAAAATATGGGGATTCATTTTATTTGTGTGTATTTATTTGTGTCCCTGGGCCCCTTCAACAGTGGCCTTCGGCCCATCCCGCCACCGTACCTGGGTTGCTGGCAATGGTCATCTTGGATACCTGTTCGGGACTCTTGGGACGCCCAGTCTGAGCCTGTTAGAGAGCGCCTCGTGGGACCTCTCTCGGGACTCTGGAAGGTATCTAGGAGGCCTCGTGGGCGCTTCTGGGGAGACTCCTTTGGAACGAAGTTTCCAAAGGCCCCTTTGCTTTTCCCCCCTCTTGGGCAGCCTTATGGGGGCTGCCTTGGGCCGTCGTGGGGCTCTTGGGGCTCTCTGGCCTCCAGGTAAGCATCGCGAGACGCCCTAGAAGTCGCGCGCCACGCCCCGAGAAATCTGGCAACTCGAGATCTGGGCCTTCGAATAGCATCCGACATGCGATTCAAACGGACTCGAGTACACTCCATGTTGTGTATACGGCACGGTGGCGGACATACAGACGTACACATACATACATGTCTGTATCCCTCTCTCTCTCTCTCTCCCTCTGGGTACCATGCAGTATGCCTTTACGAGATACGGCACGTGTGATAATATGTCTATGTTATGTCTATGTCGTCGGCCTCACCCTCTCGGTAATGATAATGATGCCAGTTGTAATCTGCCCCAGCCACTGAGGCGCGCATGTTGCATTACTGTGTCTCCGATCTGTCTCGTTCACAGGCTTTTCATTGGACGTTCCCCTCCCGTCCTGTTGTCGGCGTAGCCACTCCAATTTATATTCAGCGGCGCTCTTTGCAAGCGCGTGTTGCGCTTGCATCGTGCCGGCAGTCGTGTGAACCCGCCGCCGTCGCCTGCCTGGTAGTTTTTAGTGCACATTGGGCGTTTTCCGCGTCTGCAAACAGGCAGATGCGCTTCTTCCACACTCTCTTCCCCTTGGCAACACACAGCAGGCAGCGACGAGCGCTTCACGCGCACCTGCGAACACCTTTTCCCGCTCCTCCTCCTCCTCCTCCTTCTCCTCTCCCCTCCTCCCTCCCCTAGTTTCCATGACCTCACTCCCTCCCCATCCCCCCTGTCACCCTTCCATCATCATATTTTCAGTGTTTCCTCCCTCATGGTCTTCTGTTTTCCTCATGCTTCTCTTGTGCACCCTCCTCCCCGTCCTGGGCCCAATCCCCATGCCCTGATCCTCGTCCTCCCCCTTCCTCCCCCCCCGTAGCCCCGTAGCCGTTCTGGCTCAAGTAAAAGGTATCTCGAGCCAGCTGGGCAGGAACAGCTTTTGTCCCGCTGCGCAGAAACCCGCCCGGGCAGCAGTGGCTCATATCTATACGATGCTTGCAAGTCGCCACGTCATGCCGTGCAGATCTCCGTGGGTCATCCCAGTACGCACCATCATCGCATGACCAGCTCAGGACTAAAGCGTCTCCTTCGGCACGCCCAATAAGAATCATGTGTTGGAATTGGAGCTATCGCGGACGCTCACTACCGGCATGTAGATGCGGTGCGACATGGTTCATTGCATGAGCTTGCTTGGTGTAGGTCGGCTTTCTGGCTCGCACTGTGGTTTTATGTAGCCGTTGTGTCGGGCCCAGGTGGTCGCGCTCCCTCCTCCTCCTCCTCCTCTGCCTCCTCCTCCTCCTCTTCCTCCTCCTCCTCCTCCTCCTCTTCCTCCTCCTCCCCCTCCTCCTCCTCCAAAAAAGACGGCGTACCATGGGGAAGTAAGTGTTAGTCAGCCCCAGTAGAAGCCTCAAGCAGCCGTGCAAGGATTCCCACACACCGCCGATGGCTTCACAGCCAGAGCAGAAGGAAATCAATACAGCGAGAGCAAGGTGGCCTGAGAAGTCCAGCACTGCTTCTACACTGAGGGCCGATGAGCAGAGCAATCTCACGCAGAAGCCGTTAGACCACAATGTGATTGTCGGCGGAGAAGGCAAGTTCTCTTTAGTCCAGCGTGGACTCATCAAATCAGCCGTTTCGTGCAGAGCCCGTGAAAGCGATAAGAAGTCAAGGTCCAGGGAGGCCAAGTCGAAACATCAATATTTCGACCACAAAATCACCTCAGCGGATACGTCAAGATCTCTGGAGTCCCCAGAGTCCAATTCAGTCTCGGCAGAGCAGCCGTTTCGGGAGGAGTTTTGGGACGTGAGGAATTCGTCGAGTTCCAGGGGGCACGTCTCGCACGCCACAACCAGCGTAGAAGAAAGCCAGGCAGACGCTGTGCGACACAACATGCACGAGGTCTCCTGTCAAATTGAAGTCGCTAGAGGACATCAAACAAGACCTCAAATACCACCGCATCGAGTCCTTGAGCAAATCGGCGTGATAAGGCAGGTGATGAGCTCGGCAAACGTAAAGGCGGCACCACCGACCGCGATGTGGACCGCCCATGATCCCATACAGTGGAGCAGTGGAGACCCATGCCCAAAAAAAAACATGCTTGCCTCCAGGGCGCCCTGGGTTTCTCGTGGAAGGTTTCTTGTGTTATGATGTTCCAACCGACTTTAGCCTTGATCACGAGAAAGAATTTCGAGCACCAGAAAAGCACCGAAACTCGAGGGTTTTCACGTGTCGGGCCTTGGGAGACACTCCTCCGACACTGTTTCGACACTGTTCCGACACTCTTTCGACACTTGTCCAGGTGCTCGAAGGTAGTTCTGGGATGTGGTCCTTAAGCACGATGAGAGCAACATGGTTCTTGTGGTCGATCCCCTACAGCATACCTGGGAAAGAGAGCCGCCAGTCAGTCAGGCCAGGCAGACGTCGCGGAGCGCCGCTCCTCTGACGAGGCAGCTGCTCTTGCAGCACTGGAGCCGCTCCTGTGGCATCGGGCGGCCTATATGCCCGAGGGACAGGGCACCTGCCCGGGGATGCTCCTGCACGGCTGCAGGGGAAGGGATCGCCCCCGTTGCTGACGCTGCGCAAGACGGTAGAATCAAAGAAGAGAAAGCGCCATCAATACAATTTTTGGCGCTCCGCGCGGATGTCTTGGATCCGCGCTGGGCCCCGCCTCCCGCGGCGCCTCTGGCACGCGCCAGAGAGGGGGGTCCAGCGCCATTTAGCAGGCGTCAGCGAAGCTCAAGCCCTGGGAATGGCTTACTATGCGCACATGGGTGCGACCGAATCGTTTGGTAAAGGTGCTCAACGGCCACGGCAATATGGCTTCCGCGGCTGAGCCCGCCCCTGTTGTGCCCGACGCATTGGCTGCTAGATTACTGCGCCGGCCCTACGGCCGGTGCCGCCGACCCTGAAGGGAGACGACGAAAACGATGACGACGACGACGACGACGAGGACGACGACGAGGACGACGACGACGACGACGACGACGACGACGACGACGACGACGACGACGACGACGACGACGACGACGACGACGACGACGACTACGACTACGACTACGACAACGGCGGCGGCGACAACGACGACGACGCGGACGTGAGCCAGAGTCCTCAGGGATGGATCTTGGGGTCTCTTCGGAAGTCTCTCGGGGGCCTCTGGGGAGGAATTTTGGGGCCTCTTGGGAGCCCCCTCTTCCTGGCGTAGGGAAGGGATCAAAGGGAAGGGGCTTCTTTTCGATTCGATTATGACATTGCTAGATTTTTCTCTCGCTGACACGCTGGAGGAGGAGGGTGCAGGGAAAGGAGCCGACGGAGACGACGACTGACGGAGACGATGACTCGAACAGCCAAGCCCTTCACACACGCCGACAGGGTCGGCGGATTTTCTGTCGTCGAGTTCAGAAGGCCTAGTTGCAGGGGTAGGAGGGACATTGGGTGGTGCCGTTCCACATCACCCAGTCGAGTGGTAGAAACTACGGCGCAGCGAAATACTCCTTGCATTTAGGTCAGGGTCCTCCGCGGGGCGAAACACCAATGTTGTTGTTTCTTGTTCCCTCTTCTTTTCTCTTGTCCTTCGAGGTCCAGGAGGAGAGAGGAAGGAGGGGCGTGAGAGGAAGAGCAGCTGGGGCGGGGAAGGGAGGGAGAACGGGGGCGTGCAGAGAGGCGGCGAGACCGAGGGTGAGAGGGAGGGGGACGGTGTGAACCGGGAGAGAAGGAGGGGGAGAGAGACCGATAGATGGAGCAGTAGGATGAAGAAGGCCAGGGGAGGAAGGGAGTGCAGAGAAGGGGGGGCATGGAGAAGGGGGAAGGGTCGATGGCTGGGGAGGGGGGAGGGAGAGGGGACGGATGAGGGGAAAGGCGCGGGGGGCAGTGGGGGAGGGGGAGACAGAGAAGTCCGGCGAGGGATGGGGATCTCAACGGGGCGTGCTCTGACAGGATTTCGAGACGGGAGCCGGCATTGGCGACGTATCTCGTCGCCCCCTTTCTCGCGTGGGCGAAAAAAACCGTATCCGCCAGCGACCTTGCGGGCCCAGCTCTGCGGATGCAGGGCGTTGTTGTTGCCGATGCCCCGCGCGGAACGTATCCACGCCACCGCGTATCCGCGGGATCGCGTCCCGGAATCCAGACCGCGAGGGCGCGGATACGGATATCTTTCGGACAGAACCCCCACCCTGACACGTCGATTAGTGAATTGTCCGTTTTCGGTTCTCGATAGGGCGCCTCGGCCGTCATTTTCCATGCTTGCGCCCAGGTCGTTTTCACCAAATCACGTCTTACTAAAGGAGGTTCTGTCCATCCCCGAATGTTCGCCGCTCGTGATCTTCCCCCTTCTCACCCCATCTCCCTTCGCGATTGTGTGTGTGTGCGTCGTCCTCGTCCGCCGTCCGTCGCTCGCCTGTCCGCCGTGCCGTCTCTCCGGTCTCTGCCGCGGTGCTCCTCCTTCGATTGGTGTGCGGTCGGACCGAGGCATACGATCGAGGTCGGTTCGTGGAGTGTACCCTACTGTTCTTCGTGCTTGTTTGATGCTCGGGGGAGGGTGCCCTCGAATGTCCTTCCGTTTGGCCGGCGGAGGGTCTCGTCCTTCTTGAAGGACGTTCTTCTGTCCCAGGTCCGACCGCAGGGGCGCCAGTTGTTGGGTTCCGGACGGGGCGGTCCTGCGATGTCTGAGGGCCTCGGCATCGCTCGGACGTGTGGATTTTTCCTTCGGCGAGGACCATCGAGGAGCATTCTTGATCACTTGGCGAAAAAACCACGCACGAAACCGAAAAAAACACAGGGAAGGGACGGTCCTGCGATGTCTGAGGGCGGGCCGGTCCTGTCCGTGGTCGAGCTCGCCGTGGCCAGAGAAGGGGCCCCCTCGTGCCGTGCTCAGCGTTCCGCGTGGCAGCACGATGTTTGCAGAAGGCCCGCCCCCCCGATTTGAATTCCAAAAACAAGTTTCCTGCATTATAATTTCTTTTGTAATTCAAAAACCAGGTTTTCAAGGAAAGATAACTTTTTCGAATCCAAAAGACCCTTCGCCAGGGCCTGGCGCGGGACAGCAGAGATCCAGGCATCCCAGGGGAGGATTCGAGCAGCTGGGGTCGAGCTCGCCGTTGCCAGAAGAGTCCTGTCGTGCCGTGCTCAGCGTCCCTTCTGGTTGCACAGTTGCCGGCACATGAGAGGCGCGGGTTTTGATTGTGCACGTTTTCTTGGGCGGGTTGCTCGCCCGCAAAGTGGCGCGTCGGCGCCCTCGTTTCCAACGCGGCGTGCCGCGCTGGAGGTCCGCCTTGGCCACCGCGTCAGTCAGGAGGGGAAGAACACACAGACACAAATAAACCGTCGATCCCCAGGAATATATGGGAAAATATGGGAAGTGGGGGGAAGAACACCCAGAAAATATGGACACATGTAGGGGATCCTGGCATTTGTGTGTATTTTGTGTGTGTGTGTGTGTGCGTTTGTGTGTGTGTGTGTGCGTGTGTGTGTGTGTGTGTCCCTGGGCCCCTTCAGGAAGGGCGCCGTGCCATCGTGCGCAAGACCCTTTTCTGCTTTCGTCGCGCCCACGCGCGCAAATCTCGTGGTCGTCGTCGTCGTCGTCGGGCGAGGACAGGAGGGGGGCGGGGGGCACCATCCTGTTTGAGGCCCGACCGGGCGGGTCCCCTACGTCGCCCCCGCCAGTCCGAGGCAGGGCGCGCGCGAGGGGCTTGTGGAGCTGTCGGCGGAGCGCAGCTGAGAAAAGAGCGGCGGCGCTGCGCGTCGCTCCTCGGGCGGGCCTCCCGTTTTGGCTCCCGTGCGGTCAGGGCGCCGACGGACGGGGCAGCTCGGGCTCTGCAGAGACTCGCTGTTCCTCGGGGCTCTCCACGGATGTTCCCATGTGTACAAATATACACATACAGATTTACACACACATATGTAGTTTTTACACATATATACATATATATATATATACATATATAGTTTTTTCCCCACATCCTAAGTGGGGTTCTTGTTTTCTCTGCACACCCTCCGCGCAGGATCTCTCGTCCTCCTCCCTCTCCTCTGCTCCTCTTTGCTTCCTCCTCCGCATCATCATCACCATCACCATCACTCATCATCATCATCATCATCATCATCATCATCATCACCATCAGCATCACCATCACCATCGCACGATCACTCACCATCATCGGCATCGAACGATCATCATCATCATCATCATCATCACTACTCGCTGACTCACCACTTCGTCCCCATCATCATCACCACCATTTACCATCATAATCGCACGATCACTCACCATCAGCACTCATCATCACCACCATCATCATCATCACGTCGTCATCATCACCACCACCACCATCATCATCATCATCATCATCATCATCATCATCATCATCATCATCATCATCATATATCATCATCAAACACCGTCGTCATCATCCCATCACCATCATCCACCAAGAGGGAGCCTCGTCTGTGAGTGAATTGTGAGGAAGTCTCAGGCGGGAGCCCCCTCCCTATGGGGCCCGCAGATCATGTTACTAATCCGAGCGGGTCATCGGATTCCTGTAACTGTCGTCACTTTTGGGCTCCTCAGGTCTGAATTTGGAGGAAGTATCAAGCGGGAGCCTCGTCTGTGAGTGAATTGTGAGGAAGTCTCAGGCGGGAGCCCCCTCCCTATGGGGCCCGCAGATCATGTTACTAATCCGAGCGGGTCATCGGATTCCTGTAACTGTCGTCACTTTTGGGCTCCTCAGGTCTGAATTTGGAGGAAGTATCAGGCGGGAGCCTCGTTTGTCAGTGAATTGCGAGCAAGTCTCAGGCGGGAGCCCCCTCCCTATGGGGCCCGCAGATCATGTTATTAATCCGAGCGGGTCATCGGATTCCTGTAACTGTCGTCACTTTTGGGCTCCTCAGGTTTGAATTTGGAAGAAGTATCAAGCGGGACCCTCGTCTGTGAGTGAATTGTGAGGACGCGTCAGGCGGGAGCCCCCTCCCTATGGGGCCCGCAGATCATGTTATTAATCCGAGCGGGTCATCGGATTCTTGTAACAGTCGTCACTTTTGGGCTCCTCAGGTTTGAATTTGGAGGGAGTATCAAGCGGGAGCCTCGTCTGTGAGTGAATTGTGAGGAAGTCTCAGGCGGGAGCCCCCTCCCTATGGGGCCCGCAGATCATGTTATTAATCCGAGCGGGTCATCGGATTCCTGTAACTGTCGTCACTTTTGGGCTCCTCAGGTTTGAATTTGGAGGAAGTATCAAGCGGGAGCCTCGTCTGTGAGTGAATTGTGAGGAAGTCTCAGGCGGGAGCCCCTCCCTATGGGGCCCGCAGATCATGTTATTAATCCGAGCGGGTCATCGGATTCCTGTAACTGTCGTCACTTTTGGGATCCTCAGGTCTGAATGTGGAGGAAGTATCAAGCGGGAGCCTCGTCTGTGAGTGAATTGTGAGGAAGTCTCAAGCGGGAGCCCCCTCCCTATGGGGCCCGCAGATCATGTTTTTAATCCAAGCGGGTCATCGGATTCCTGTAATTGTCGTCACTTTTGGGATCCTCAGGTTTGAATTTGGAGGAAGTATCAAGCGGGAGCCTTGTTTGTGAGTGAATTGTGAGGAAGTCTCAAGCGGGAGCCCCCTCCCTATGGGGCCCGCAAATCATATTATTAATTCGAGCGGGTCATCGGATTTGTGTAACTGTCGTCAATTTTGGCTCCTCAGGTTTGAATTTGGAGGAAGTATCAAGCGGGAGCTTCGTTTGTCAGTGAATTGCGAGCAAGTCTTAGGCGGGAGCCCCCTCCCTATGGGGCCAGCTGATCATGTTATTAATCCGAGCGGGTCATCGGATTCCTGTAACTGTCGTCCTCTTTGGGTTCCTCAGGTCTGAATTTGGAAGAAGTATCAAGCGGGACCCTCGTCTGTGAGTGAATTGTGAGGACGCGTCAGGCGGGAGCCTTCCTATGGGTCCCGCAGCTCACGTGGTTCCTCCGGGTCATCCTCCGGCGCGCGCTTCCTCTGGGTCGTCCTCCGGCGCGTATCGGCTGGGACGCACGTCGTGCGCTTCCTCTGGGTCGTGTTCCGCGCGAGGACGAGGAGGAGGAGGATTGCCAGGAAAAGGAGGAGGGATGATGCAGGACGAGACAGGAAAGCAGGAAGAGGAAGAGGCTGAGGGGAGGAAGGACGAGGAGGAAAAGGAGGAGGAAGAATGCCCGAGGAGGCCCCAGTAGGTCCCGGAAGGCCCAGAAGGCTCCAGGAGGCCCCAAGAGGCCCCAGGAGGCCCCAGGAGGCCCCAGGAGGGGGCAGGAGGCCTAAGGAGGAGGCAGGAGGAGGAGGAGGAGGAGGAGGGGGGGGGAGGAGGGGGGAAGAATATGGAAACGAGGAGGAGGAGGAGGAGGAGGAGGAGGAGGAGGAGGAGGAGGAGGAGGAGGAAGCGGATGAGGGAGAGGGAGAGGAGGAGGACAGGGGATGAGGAGGAGGAGGAGGAGAAGGGAGAGGGAGAGCAGGAGGAGGAGGCAGGAGGCAGGAGGGGCAGGGGGAATGGGGGGGAGGAAGCATAACGAGGGGGAGGGGGAGGAGGTGGAGGAGGCAAGGAGAGGAGGAAGAGGCAGGGGTTGAGGCAGGAGGAGGAGCAGACAGGAGGAGAACGAGGAGGCAAGAGTAGGTGGGAGAAGGGAAGGGGCAGGAGGATACCCCCATGCAAGCTAAAGAGATTATCATGTGCGGTTCTTCCGTCGGAGTAGTTACACATCTATAGTTTTTTTTTACATTTTTACATATCTATAATTTTACAAATCTATAGTTATATATATATATATATATACATGTATAAATATACACATACATATATGTATGTATATATACGTGTGTGTGGCTCCCCGTGCGCCCAGGTGCGCTTCGGGGCGACAGAAGGGTTTCGTTTTCTTTATCTTGCGTTCCCCCTGGTGTCAGCTTGGCTGTGCTGCAGGTTAGTGTCGGGCCGACGGGGCGGCGAATCTCAGCGCCGGCGTTCAAGGTTGAACGCCGCAAGGACGGAGCCAGCACGAATGTAATGTTGGAAAGCCGCGACCTTCCAATGTTGAGCGGTCCAGGCGGTGTCAGAAACCAACGCGCAAGTCGCCACGACACGAATCTGCCGAGCGGCAGTCTAAACATGACATTGTCTCTGGACAGGCCCCGTATCCCTCCCTCTCCTCCCGCGGCCTCCTCCTCTTCCTCCCCAGCATCTCACTTCCCCCCTCTTTCTCCATCCCCATCCTCTCACTCTGCTGCCGCTGCTGCTGCTGCTGCCCTTCACTCCGTACTCCCCCTGCTTCTGCTGCTGCTGCTCTTCCTCCTCCTTCTTCTCCCTTTCCTCCTCCTCCTCCTCCTGCCCCTCTCGTCCTCCTCCTCCTCCTCCTGCCCCTCTCGTCCGCCTCCTCCTTTTTTCCTCCTCTTCCTCCTCATCCACTCCCTCCTCCTCCTATCCATCTCACTCCTCCTTCTCCCTCCCCTTCCTGCTGCCACTGCTGCTGCTGCTTCTGCTGCTCCGTGGTGGAAGATACCGCGCCTATCATTCGAAGATTTTGGCGAGAAGGGTTTCTCCTTACAAGGTGTGGTGCCTGCTTTGAACGTTTCGTGTCCCATTCCGTGGCGATAAGTTTGTAACCAAGGTAGGTGCATCGCAGTTGCCGTATGTGTTACAGGTGGAGACACTGGGCGACATCTTTGTTTGTTGTCGTTTCTCTCTCTCTCTCTCTCGCTGTCTCTCTTTCTCTCTCTCTCTCTCTTTCTCTCTCTCTCAAACTTTGTCCCGCACAGCAAGAACAGCTATAACTAGAGAGGGGTGACAACAACAACTATACATAGAGAGCAACAACTACATATACCTGTATAGAGAGAGGGAGAGGTGGGAGAGATATATAACGTACGCACAGACCCTGTTCACATTGTGTATGTACACATCGTGATGAGTGTACGGTGTAAGAGGGGAAGAGGGATACATAGCAAGCATGAGAGACAGAAGAATATCTTCATGTGTTCAATTCAAGCGAACACGGTGACACGGCGTAGTTGCGTGTCCATGCGCGGCGGTTGCGGACTACCGTCTTGTTGATCACAAGTTGCATTGCCGCGCAGCAGAAACTGACAGGTGACGTCCGCTGTGATGGCGTGCAAGTCTGCTGCGACGCACCTCCAGGCGCTGCTGTCGTCTCTCTTTTCTCTGTCTCTTTCTCCCTTCCGCTCGCTCTCTCTCTCTCTCTCGCTCTCTTTCGCCCTCTGTCTCTGTCCATCTCTCTTTCTCCTTCTCTGTCTGCCTGTCTCTCTCTCTCTCTCAATGTGCCTCGCGCCACCTTCACCCTCTCCCTCGTCCATCTCCTCTACCTTCTCCGAAAGCTCCGCCTCGCCATCGCCCTCCGCCTCCGCCTCCGCATCCTTTCCTCCCCGCACCGCGCACCAGCCTCCCCCCTCCCCCTTCCCCTTCCCCTTTCCCCGCCTGCTCCGCCGGGACTCCCTGGCTGGCTCTGGACGGCCCCGTGGCACAGCGGGGGCAGCTCGTGCGAGGGCAGAGTCAAGACGCTGACATGAGAAAGCGTTGGGGTTCGGAAAGGAGGCGGAGGAGGAGGAGGAGGAGGAGGAGGAGGAGGAGGAGGGAGGAGGAGGAGGAGGAGGAGGAGGAGGAGGAGGAGGAGGAGGAGGGAGGAGGAGGAGGAGGAGGAGGAGGAGGAGGAGGAGGCGGAGGAGGAGGAGGAGGAGGAGGAGGAGGAGGAGGAGGAGGAGGAGGAG